AACCTCGCCGGAACTCAACAACCGAGAAATAAATTGCTGTATGTTATTTACATTTTCGTCGATATAAAAATAATTTGTTTAACGAAGAATTTTAAATAGAATATTTTTACGTACCCCAACGATTATGTGTTATATTTATTTAAAATTTTGTGAGGATTCTGAAAATGTCATTGAAGTTGACGGTAAGTGCATTTTTAACAGAGTAAAATAACCTTTTTCATAACAACTACAATAATCTTTGAAAAATCTTAATTTATTTGTTATTCTCTAACTGTTGAAGTTGGGAACCTCAAATTTGCGACATTCTGTCACCATTACCATGTAATTTAATGCAAAATTTTATTTAACACTTATCACCGGACACCCTGTATATAAGTATATTATTGATAAAAAAAAATTATTAATCCATCATACATTGCTTTCATAAATCTTAGAGATAATTGATAGTAATGACAACTGTCTATAATTTGACACAGTTGATTCATCTCCCTTCTTGAAAAGAGGTTTAATTTTGGCAATTTTTTGGCATCTTGTGTGTTATTATGAACTTTACATAGCCGCAAGTTATTATGTTTAGAGTCCACCTCAACAGAACTGCACTTTATGTTCTTTTTTTAAAAAGATAGTCTAGATAAATATCAGAGGAGGAGGATAAGAAGGAGGAGAAATACAAAAAACCACAATATTTCAGTTAGCTGACTGGTTTATTGTATTGACACATAATAGCGTATGGCACTAGACAAAGTGCATTGGACAATTATGGACAATATTATGGTGAAAAGCAACAAATAGTTGTATTACATTACAATATATACATCCCATATACATGATAGATTTTTGGTTATGTAGAAAATATCATCGGTTAAGTATTGAAATTAATTGGATAAAAAATAATTGGTCTTGTTTTCAAAGTATATACATTTCATCAGTACCTATGTTATATACAATAATATTTACCTAATACTGATTCACGCTCAGTCATCCTGTCCTTCATTATCAAAAGATTCTTTCATATTCCAATTAATATTTAATTTTAAACAAAAATATAGTTTAATTTTTTTTTGTATTTTATCGTACTTGTGGCAAAACATCAAAATATAGACAAAACGCTTAGTGTGGGCATTATTCAATACAAAGGTTAAGTCTTATATCGAGGGGAAAATCAGAGAACAAATTCAAAAGACAAAACATAATCTTAGTACAAGGTACAAATAAAGTAAAATTATTCTTTTAAGCCTAAATTGTTAGGATGTGACATATATAATATGTCTGAATATGGCTCCTAAAAAATAACAATGAAAAGATAGCATTGATGAAACAATTTAGACTCTTAATATTATTGTGAATTATAATCACATGAGTTTCTTGAAAGGTACAAAAATATTAGTCCATAATGGATTTAAGTAAAACAGTAAAAGAAATATTGATAGTGCTATCATAAATGTTGTGAATCCTAATTATGTAAATGGAAATCGCAATAATGTCTTAAGACATTACAGAAAAGGCTACCAAAAATACCACAACACACTCGCTCGAATCAAGTCAAAAATTCGCTCGTTCGTTCAGACCCTAAAGTAATGATCCTGGATAAGTTTCATTTGCATTGCTGGCATTACTTTATCTTAAAGTGAATTAATAGTGAAAAATCAGAAACATGTAAATGACCATACTACACTAGAGGGATTAGTGGAGTAAGAATATAATAGTGTTAGAAATAGAACATGGCAATTACTCACAAGGTACACATGGACTTAATGTATTAATGTGTATAAATAAGGATTTCCAATGCCATACAAAGAGTATGGCACTGTAACGTTCTAGTTTGTAAGAAAAATCATACGGTCACAGGTCGTTAAGGCATTGATGTTTTTAAATTCTAACACAAAAGTATCATTATTAACAAAAATAATCAAAACAATTTGGTTTAGCCTTTTACAAGAATAAACTTCGTAGAGCGTAATGTAACATGAATCCAAAATGCAACAATTTGGCCCTACACAATTTTTGACAGGGAAAAATATTTACTGTGAGAATGTTTTATTTCTTACACTGAATATATTCATCTATAGGCCTTTAAGGGGAGGGAATGATAGTTGTTAGCTTACCTAAAACTATTTTCTACATCATGTTTAAACTATATTGTGTACGATCTCAATGATGTCGTACTTATAATTATATTAAAAATGTCAGAGACATCAGGACGCCCTGAAGACAGTCCCAGTTTTGCGATGTTGCCAGTTTGATTGATAAAACTTATTATACTCGAGTAAAAAAACCACAACTAACTTTTACAAAAAAACCAAATCCTAATTCAAAAAGGCGATATCACAAATACGTTTTCAGATTATAAACATCGATGGAATAGTCGCTTCCGACTCGCCTACTCACTAAAATAAGCGACATCAGTTTCTTACATGACGACATAGAAAAGCCACTTATCATAAAAATAAATATATCACAATAATATCGTAAAGCTAATAAACGTAACCTAAGAACCTAATTTAGATAGTTACTTCAGTTATGAGAGGTAACCGCTTTTACAGGCGAGGGTTGGTGAAAGCGGACATTCCTATATGAAGAGGTAACCAAGCACAAAACTAATTGAGGCAGGGGGGAGCAAGCATCAAACATGAGTATTGTCGGGAATACCTGGCCCATGCATGCTCAGCACTCAGTAGGTATAGAACACGGGGACGCTACAACAGGTCATAGTGTCCTGTGAGAGGTTACTGCCAGGCGGAGAACCTTCACTACAGATCAGAATTGTCAACACTCAATTATGGTATTATGGATTCCAAACAGTATTACCTTGTACATAATTTTATTTGGTTCAAGGTTACCGTATTTTTGTAGAGTGGCAACATGGTAACGAGAAAAAAAAATTCATAAGGAAAAATTATATTACAAAGTGAATGTTTCTAGAACAAATGGGTTATGTATGACAACTTAATCACTATATTGTCTTAGACTTGCAATGAGTGGGAATCAAGAATCTACATTTAGAAACTCTCCCCTGAAATGAAAAATATTCCCATATAACGATGCCAATGATTAATTTGTAATTTACTTTATTCTCAATGTACCGTTTTAAGACAAATAACAAAAGTAAAATGTAATTATAATAAAATATGTCTAAGAAAGTAAAATTATAACTGTGAGGTTTCGTAGGTATGTTCATTTTCAAGTTAATAGATTAGTTCAACCAGAAGCAATGATCGTTACTAATTTTGATTTGGTTTGTACAAGATTTGCAAGGAACATGTTGGGGGTAGTATTTTCTGGTTGTTTAGAATGTCCAAGAACATTAAAGTTGTGAGCCAATCAGTCGTAAGAGGTGCCTACTGATCACCTATACAAGGACAATTCTTGCTCAAACGGTTCTGCTTTGTCTGACCATCTTGGAGTACAGTGCTTTTGAGAAAGTTTTATTATTTTTTAGTCAAATTTCTTTAATTTCCCTTCTTTTTGAGGGCAATTCTTCGAAAAATATAACATTAGAACCTTGGGAATCATAACATTTAATTTGAGTTGTTTTGAATTTAATTTCAAAAATAATTTTCTATTTAAGTAATACTTGGTTTTTTATACTAGAGGCTCATGAAATGGAACATATATACCTATCTAAAATACATAATGTAGGCTATAATAAACAAAATTAATAGTAATTCAAGTAAGAAATATGAACGATTGCTAAAATGTTAAGGTGAGAAGATTTTTGATTTTGTTAATAAATAGTATCATTTGAGAAGAAGGAATTTTAGGTGTATTTCAACCAGAGAAAAATAGTTTTAATCAATTATAATGGTACAACACATTTGATTAAATTTACTTAACATTTTGGTAGTCCAAACAAGTGTTTAAACTGTTTAAAGTAATGAGCAAACGCTCTGAAATGTTACACTCGGTACACGTTTCAAAAATTTTCATTGTAAAAATTCATTTAATCCACCTTAAAAGCCTTCAGTTTATTTTACAGTATTAACATTAGAATGTCTGACGCTGGTGGTTTCCTCAGCCTGGCAGATGGGTTAGATTTTAGCAAGTATCAAAAAGCAACATTCCACATTCAGAACTAAGTTTATTTCATCCGCTTCTGGCTAAGCTATTAAAGTCTTTACAAAAATATGCATTTCTATAAGATGTTTAGTTCTGATAACACGTAAAAATCGTGGAAGCGACATGCAGACCAGCAAGGTAAATCCGACACCTACCCGAAACCAAACATGCTGTACTTTGAAATAAACCCAGAGCATCAAGTGAAAGATCTAATACTAGAGAAAATACATATTTACAGACAAAATTATTAGCTGTACTATCACTAGAATGGCGGTAACAAAAGCCAAAAGCCAAAATGACTAGTTAGAAAGGATGACCAGTACAAAACCCGAGTACAACTCGTTAAACACACTCTTTGGTTAGTTTAAGTACAGGACTTGTAAATCGGGGCCCAAGCTTCACTTGTGCTTAAAAAATGTAACAGAAAATGCTCCAAAAAAAATTTATAAGGTCATATTTTAATTTACATCTTACTTAACAAATTGATTTAAACTACAAAATATTGGTAGTTATTACTTACTTTACTTGTCCATGAATTTTTTACATCTTTAGGGACTCAACACTACGATTTTGTGAATTAAATTGTCGAGGGTTAATTTAGTTTCATATAACACATTATTTGAAGCCTCAATGAAGAAACTTTGTTTTACTAATAACAAATGTTATGCAAACTCTATGCAAAAGACAAATGATTATTAATATAATTATTATTTGTATGCATGTTGAAATTTTGCACTTTTTCAATTTTAAAGGTTTATTGATTTGTATTATTTTTTTCATAAAACCGTTGTTCGATGGAACTTGCATTTCTATTTGGTAACTTACAGGAAATAATTAGAACAACAATAAACTCAACGATTTGCATTTATAACTAGAACTTTTCAAACTGATTTTCATCAGTATAAGTAAGTTTAAAATGTATTCTATATACATTCAACATCAAACCATTTATAATTAATTAAGACCATTGGTTTAATTCTTTAAGGCTAAATATGGCAACCAATTATTTGGTTTGTATTTTTGGCAATCATGTCTCTTCAGTAACAGTTAAAACAAAACCTCACACAGAGAAATTCAAGTATAAAATTAATTTGTACTAAGTAAAATGTTTCCTAAATTAGTAAAACTTAGGGTAATACTGATATGAAGCTTGGGCACCCTATGCCTATATCCTCTGGGAAACAGGGATGACTCCCGTTCTAGGAACCAAGCCCTTGGTGTCACCACGGCAACAGAGCAGCCATGTCTCGTCCACTTCCAACACCAAGCGAAGTCTCTCTCCCTCATTGTACGCTAGATGTCCACTGTCTGAGGGTAACCTATGACTCAATGTCACGACGAACCTGTCACAAACATAGATACTGTTTTACATTCACAGCCGTTCCAATTAAATTACGAACATAAAAGTAAAACATTTTCTTGTCCATTAAATTAGCAATGTTTTAACTGTCAATGTTGAGCCATCGATGTATAATAACTCCCTGGATTGCGCGCTCAGGTTGAAGTAGGGCTCGAAAAACGGTCCGTCGCTACCTCGCTCTGTCCGCGAGGAGTGGGGATAAAGGCATGAGTCACCCTAGTGGCGAGCGTCGCGCCCGCTCTCGCCGTGTATTGCTATGTTAGTTTTGTGGAAATATTCCAATGATAATTGATTGTAACGAACTTAAGGAGGTTATATAGGCATATATAATTAATCTACGTACTTGCTCACACTTTATAGACTATGTGTCAAAAGTAAATCTCATAAGAAATTTAGTGATGTTATGAAAGAGTTAGATTTATTAATATTTGAACATTAAACAGGGCAAAATATATCACAATAATTATTTGATCACAAAGCATGTCATCATTTGCTGCTGTGAGGCCCAATTATTATTGAGATACTTTGCAACATTTATGAATATATATTTTGTTTATAGTGTACTAGCTGTTACCCACGGGCTTCACCCCGTTTGACCTCATAAGTATTAATAAAATTATTGAATGGTTAAGTTAAGCTGAAATAAACAAAACAGGATACAGTAATACAAACAAATAAGTACAACCATAGACTAACCGTTTTATCTATGGTACAACTGAGGTATTTTTAACATTAGGTATATGGAAAGTTCCCTTTCGAAAGGAATTACGACCGTAAAGGGCAATTTTCGAAATAATAAATAGTTTTGGGCAAGGTTTCTCGTCATGATGAACATTTTAAGTGTATGGTTTATGGGGGTGTGACTTGTAGTTTTCTCAAAAGTTCATGGGTACTTTTGGCTTTATATATAGATGTATCTTTGCTATACTGTGATTAACGTGTTTGGAAAACATATTATGTTGCTAAATAAAATTGGTGTAGCCTATAATATTTAATGCCAATATCTCAAATGTATTTATTATTCTCACTGAAGTAAAATAATAACAAAATATTTTCTCAGGTATTAAATACTACTGTGGAATCCAACATTTATTCTTTGATTCAAAGAATTTTGTTAACTATAGACTACCGGTAAGCATTAAAATGCATAAACATACGCTTGTAAATTTCGTTACCATTCATCGTAATGTATTGACATATTTGATGTAATAAAATTATAATTAAATGCTAGAAACACAGTATCTAGATCCCGTAAACTGATGCTGAGCCGGCCGAGCTCCTAGCGCCAATGCCGCGCCAAGCGATTTTATGCCTATTTTTAATCGCTTAAAAATGATACAAGCAGACTCCGTATCAAAAAAAGCTTCAAATAAAAAATTAAATTCATACTTTGATCTAAAACTTTGCCGCAGGAATTTTTTTCCTGACCAAAAAATAAAAAAGTTCCTCGCTTACTACATTTTTCATGTTTTTAATGGTGTTAAAAAACGATCATCAGTTTTAATTTGCCTAAATAAATTATAAAGAATATGTTAAGGTAAAAACTAACTACATAGTAATAAGCACTGGTTTTTCCAGAAAAATAATATATCAATTTGAAATTTTTATGTTAACAAATAAATGTAGCAGAGCAGGTTGAGTGAATGTATGTTTGTGTAAAACAGTGAGGTTCATTCGGCCCGTCCGCCTCGGTATCCCGCCAATTCGATTGGCGGGCACGGACCGTTTTTCCACCACCTAGCGCGCTATCCAGTAGAGTTATTATACATCGATGTGTTGAGCTATATGAATGAAATGAAAAAATATCTTTATTCATATGGTATACAGTCGCATACATTGAATGGCGCCATTAGGCTTAAAACTAAATCAAATTAACCTACAATTCATCGAAACCATAAAGTGTTTTATCAGTTAAGAAATGTTTAAGTTTTTTTTTAAATTTTGAAATATTATCAATATTCCTCACCTCAGCTGGGAGTTTGTCCAAAAACCTTTTCCCTGCACAGGTGGTTTTTTTGTTAAAAAGCTCCAAATTATGGACACTTACAGCAATTTCATTTCTGTTCCGGGTAAAATAATTATGACTATCACCAAGTTTAGGGACCAAATTAGCATTAGAAAGTTTTTTTGTGTGTAAAATTGTATGAAAAACATAAATACTATACACAGTCATTATTCCCAATTTTGAAAAAAATTGACGAGCGGAAGTATCCCATTCTAAATTTAACATAATTCTGATTGCACTTTTTTGAAGAGTAAGAATTCTATCCAGGTTTTGCTTAGAGGTATAGCCATAAATACTTATGCCAAAAGATATTGATGAATCAATAAAAGCAAAATAAAGAATCTTTAATGTTTCTATTAAGCAAAATTTTGACATTCTATTAATAGCATGGATACCAGAAGTAATTTTGTTGACTACCTGGTCTATATGCTTATTCCATGTTAGATTTTTGTCTACAATCAATCCTAAAAACGTTGTTGTGGTGATTTCTTCCAATTTATTATTTTGAAATTGAATTACAGGCTGTACAATTTGTTTTCTTTTTCCTGTTGTAAAAACCATAAAATTACTTTTGCTTAAATTTTAAATTTAACAAGAGCTGATGAGAATTTAAAAAAGTATTTAGAGCTTGATGTTAACAATAAAAAAAACATTTGAGTAAAAAAAGTAAAAACTTTCAGATCTGTGTGTTGATCATTATTTTTATTGTTAAAACTTATTTGATTTCTCTTTACGTAAACAAATGCAAACACATATACTCATGATTTGAGTTTGGGATTATGAATAGTATAATCAACAAAAAAACAATAGTTAATAGTAGTAGTATAAAAAATAAAAACATGTCATCCTTCAGCCATTATGTGTAATAAAAACATATTAACCGGTTATCTTTGAATTTACTATTCGTTCATGAATATATTCTTCCTTTCAGTAAGTTTCTAACATTGTGATTCAAAATTATTTTCTTTGCATGATGTAGTCTTATTTTGAAATACTTTACTACTATTTCAGTAAACAAATCTCTAATACAACATTTTAGGGGTCTTAATTGGTTGGTGTGTTCCGTTAGCCTTAAAAAAAGTTATTATGTATGTCTCTAAACATCATGCCTCCCCCTCCTCGGTACAGCGGCACTGCGCAGCCAGGCTCTGGCTTCAACAAAACTCAAGCGTGTCTCCTCCTAAGTGTCACACCACTGGATGCTAATAGTATTGAATTAATTCAATGGCAATTAGTTGTTGAGCACACTGTACAAAATTACTAAAGTGACTGTGGTGTAGAAATGGTTCTAGATTGCATGCTGTCTAGTCTAGCTAGCATTCTAGTCATTATTCATGATATGAAAAAGACTAACCTGTGTGGTTGAGATGTCTGGTGTTGTCTGATCGTAGATGAGCTCGCAGCTCGTCGATGACTGTCTACAGATGGAGCTCGCTGAACCCTGTAGGGCAGAGAACTCGGCCTGGCCACTGGCCCTGTCTTGGCTGGAGCATCTACCCTAGATGTACGAGCTTTCACTGGCCCTTCCGGTACTTTTGCCCTGAAAAGCACTTATCTTGAGAAAGAAGCGATACAATAACAGGGGTATGTGTGTTGTACATGTTGAATTTAATTTTAGTTGAATATGTAGCAGCTGATTATGATTATTGTTTATGTTTGTTGTTGCTATGTTGAGAATCATTCTAATAGTCAGGACATTAGTTTTACTTAAGTCTTTGATTATTATTTCTTAAATATCAGAAGCAGGACTAATTAATTTTTGCAAAGAACTGTTTTCTAGACATAGAATACCTGATGTGGTAGTCTCAGACAGTGGCTTACAACTACTTAGTAGGACTTGAAGGAGTTTTCTAAAGACTGGAAGTTAGAAGTAGTAACCTCATCACCTTACAATCATCAGTCAAACAGAAAAGCCGAATCATATGTAAAAGTGGCAAAGAAACTAATTAAAAAAGTAAAGAAAAAAAAGAAGATAATAGTAGGTATGATATTGTCAATTTATCCCACAACCAATTCCAGAGGATAGAAATATGCCGTGAATTAAAGTACTACGTTTACACACAATCAAGGTGACTAAAATTATACAGTATAACTACATAAATCCATTCTGTCTTATGACGGACAACTAGGATGACTTACCGGTTTGAGATGGATGAAGGCCTCCTGAGTTGACTGGCACCAGTGAGGGCTTTCTTGATTGGTGGTCTGACTGTGCCAGGCTGACTCACCAGACCTAGGCCTTGGCTGGTGGGTCGTACAGGCGATGTCACGGGCCGTGGAATACGAGATTTGGGGGCACTCGATACACTGGAGGTACTGTCAAATACATCATTGTTTAGTAAGAAGCCAGTTTATACAATTGAAATACAAATTTATTCATATGATATATTACTGTTTTTATAAAGCACACCTCATCTACATAATAATTGTCTTGAAAAAAAACTTTTGTTTTATTTTTTTTATTTTGTGATTTAAGGTTATGTACCTAATTCTCACTTAAATTGTAAAAAAGTTCAAAGTGAAACACCTGTTCTTATGTATGCATTGTACTTTACAAAGAACTGTGTAAATAAAACAGGTCCATGTCTATGTCTAATGAAACTTGTTACAGGCTTCATAAATGTGTTGAATTGAAATGCTGGTGACTAAACAATTGCCAATGGATAATGACTTCTAGTACATTTGTACTGTACATTTGTAGGACCACTAAGGCCCGGTTCACACGAACGACAAACCTAGCAGACTAGGTAAGCACGACTGGGTAGCGGACCACAGGATCAAATGGAGCCGTTCACACCAGCCTAGGACGCCGACTAGCTAGTCGTGTTCGAGCTTGATGTCCCAAAACCTAGTCGGACCCCGCTTCCCAGTCCGTCGCGGCAACTACCCAGTCGCCCAGTCGAACTGCGTAGCAATACATGTAGCCTTATGGGAGCGTTCACACGAGCGATCGGGTAGTCGAGCTGCAGCTCACATTCTTACCTTTGTTCTCATTGTGCACCAGTGATGGAACCGAGTGGTTTTAATATCGATATTTTCAACTAGTCCGTGGACATGTCGCTCGTGTGAACCGGTGTGATCCTGTGGTCCGCTACCCAGTCGTGCTTACCTAGTCCAAGCCTAGTCTGCTAGGTATGTCATTTGTGTGAACCAGGCCTAACACTTTTCACTAACATTTTGACTAGTGATGTGTCGGTTCTATTTTTTAACAGTTCTTGGCCGAAAACGGTTCTCAGTTCCTCTTCCAGTGTTCCAGTAAAAAAAGATAAAATTTAAAATGATGTAAAAATGTGAGTTTATTTAAAAATTACAAATGCTTCTGTTGGTAGCATTACTTCCACTTCTTAAAAGTGAGTTTTACTTTTGCCTAGCCTAAAATATTCATGAGCTCAAAGAAGAAGCTGTGTGCAATCTTTTTTAGTCTTTATCAGCTGTTTATATAACTGTTACAGACAAAGGAGAAAAGAACTACCAAAGTCAAATGAAACCCAACTCGCGATCTCTATAATAGTTTACAGCCATTGTATGAATGCAAATTTAGAAAAAACTATTCAATAGTTCTGCATCCGGCTACTTGGCTAGCTAGTCGCTATTGATCGCCATATATATGCGACGCTGCGGCCATTGCCACGGACAGAGGTATACAGTTTAATATTACACATAAACCGGGTGTCACTTGGTTAACAGTACATACAGACCACGGGCCAAAGATGCAGCAAAGTAAAAAAAAAACAGTTTAGCCAACTACCATATGACGTCACTAATTATCATATCCACAGACCAAGTGACATACAAGTGCGACATACATCGCTGTAGACCACTGCAGAGAATTCAGGGATTCAAATAGACCATTACGAAGATATAAGCTTTTTAATAACATTGGAACATCGATGCAAATTATTATTAGCAACATGTAGATATATATTACATGTAGATAACAATATACAACTAATCTTGTTAAGAACTAAAAAATATGTAAAGCAGTTGATGGAACCGTCAGACTGAAGAACCGACAACTTTTTGACGGTTCTCGGTCCCGGTTATTTCCCCAAGAACCGTTGAACTGAGAACCGTCTTTTGGAAGTGACATATCTCTAGTTTTGACCTCATGTAGAGTGCCATCTTAAGGGTAACAACTTCCGCAGTCGTCAACTGTGTGGAAGACCACAATTTTACAGCCCGCTGGTGTTGTTTTAGAACTGTCATTTCAAATGTTTGATCCAAACTTTGTACTTTTTTTATTATGTTTATGAATTGACTTTCCTTGTCGTTATCTCACATATTCTAGGTTTTTTAAAGGCCCTATCACGATCAATTCTATGTACCTGGACTTCACAGGGGAAGGTGGAGTGTTAAGTGATGAGGATTTGTCAAGACTTTCTTGACTAGTGTTCTCTCTGCCAGAGAGCATTTCCCACTTCATCTGCAGTCTACGGAATTTGCCACTGCCTTCGCCTGTCCCTGCTTCCTCTCCGTTGCCTACATTTCCTCTGCCTCCTGTCTCCAGGCTGAAACCGGGCCCCATAGTGATTAAGTATTGTTAAATCACCAAATACTAATACACATTGACATACATTGAATGAGACAAACCAGATTAATTAAAGTTATTTGTTTCTAACTGCTTATTGTCTAAGTTGTTGGGATGCCTCAAAATCTGGATTACAGGAGAGGTGATGGCAAGCCTGTCATGAGTTTGAAAATTAGGAAGGTAACGTACTAACATACATCTTCCGTTACCTGGCAACCGATAACAATAGGAGTTTCCCATAGAAATCTAATCACAGGATGTGATTTAAACTTGATAGGGATTTTCTTTGAAATTTGCTACTACCAGAAGAGTAATTGCTGTCGGCTAGTGATATCAAATTTGAACTTACTAGATTGGTCCCGACTGAGACTTATTAGGTATTATTTATTAGCAATCCACATAAGACTGAAATATGATTTCACACCACTTTGTGATTACTCACCTGTCAGTGTATTCTTCCTCAGTGTCGTCTCCAAGTCTGTCGTAAGCTTGTCCAAGCTTGCCACCGATGTTTACACTCCATCGCTTGTGCTGAGTTCCGGCTACATCAGCTCCTGTCACACAGTCCACACAAGAGCGAGGTCGCACATTCTCCGACATCTGGGGAGGTGGAGACTCCATCAATCTGTGGAGAGCCCAGGATCCTTTACTGCTCGCACTGCTTCCGCTGTGGCTTGGTGAGGAAGGGAGTCTCTGTAACATTGTCTACATGTTTTACTGGAATAATATTCGTGACTATTTTGTTGTGGGGAAGACAAGCGTGAACTAGAGCTTTTGTGTTTTGCAACATGCATGTTTGTATTTTGAAAATTGTTTTGTGGATGTTATTGTTTATATCTAAACAATATTATGTATAGTAATTAGTGATGGGCGGATCCAATAAAATATCAATACCGGATCCGGATCCAGATATGTACTGTCATAAGAATAGGTTAAAAAAAAAAATATTTACAGAAATCCAATTTAAATCATACTGTTTTAAATTAAATTTGTAATGTTTATTTTTGATGGACCCTAAAATTTTCAAAATTATGACAATGAAACTTCCTGCTAAGTTTCCACGACCACCAAAAGGGTATCTCTGTACATTTTTAGTCTTCTTCATGGGCACAGATAGCCTTGTATATGGACATAGATATGGAGACACAGTTAGTCTTGTACGTGGACACAGATAGTCTTCTATATAGAGTTGATTTTAATTTTTTTTTTTTTTTTTTTACTATTAATTTTATTTTACCTACATCACTATGAAGAAACACCTGTTCTTATGTATGAATTGTACTTTATAAAGAACGTTTTGTGTTAGTAAAATTCGGATCCATCAAAACCGGATCCAGCCCAAGATACCATTTTTGTGGATCTGATCAGGCGTTGGTTTTAGCTCAAATCTGGTGGATCCGGTAGTTTCTGGATCCGACCATCAATAATAATAATTTATTTATGTTAACATTAGATTATGTAATTACATCTTTGATCCTAATGTTATTTAATTTATTTTGTAAGGATCGCTTACACTTAGCTGAAGCAAGCTCTGATGCAACAGTCGGGTCTCATAGAGAAGGTCCAGTTTGAAGTTAAGTTGTCCAAGAGGTCTCAGAGAGGCCAGCAGTTTGTCACTGAGTGCTCTGGCATTGGTCTGTCCTCGACAGGCACACAACATGAGAGCATCTGCTGAGTAGTGGCGGCGCAAAACACTCTCCCTGGTCCTTAGATAGCTCAGCCACACGTCTAGACCTTGTACACTGTAGCCAACAGTAAATCACTTTAATTTGCATACATTTATACTTGGATTGATAAAGGTGCAATAACAATTTGGTTTGAACATTTTGGTAATATTGTTAAATATTTATAGATATGCAAACTTAGCATGTAGGTTATAGTTTTGATTTAAGTTACCCAACAAAGTACACAATTATGTGTGTTGTTAATACTGGATTAATAATCATAATTTAATTTTAAAATGTAGATATTTCTCTTCATCTTAACTCAAAGATTAAGAACAATGATCACAACACATTAGAGATATCTTCGCCTCTGAGAGGGGTTAAAAACTGTCTTGCTAAAACGAAACAAAGCAACTTGTATAGTGATGCAAATTTACAGCCAAGTTGATAGACACACATAGCAGTATTGATGACTTACTTTAAAAGACCGAATATGAAAGCATTGAATTTGACTACCCCTTCAGTCAGAACATCTTCACTGTTCAACTTGAGAACTAGTTCATTCAAAGCCTTGGTCATGGGACCTGAAACACATTATGGTGTTTATAAGCAAACATCTTTATAAATATTCAGAACTGAGAACTATATCAATACTTATTATGATAGGGTAAATGCTATAGGCGGGCGAGTAAATGACTATCAAGGAATTACTCTGCTGTTCCTTTACATAAATAAATAAATAAAAGTGTTTTTATTAAAGCGTTTCTCTGGTACACCAGCTTTTCAGAACACTTAGTCACGATATAACAAACTATCCTATGCTACTATCGGTCCATATACTCAAGCACTTTAACTTACCAATCAATTTTATCGTATGCATTTTTTTCAACTCAAATGTAGAACTCTAAAAATAGTATGAATGTAAAATACTCATATACTTTGTACTTAAAAATTGTATAAAGTAAAATATAGAAGCTCATTCCACTTAGGTTTGTCTTTAAGACATTTCTGTTGTGAGCTTGAAAATAGTATTTTAACTGGTAAATTTTAAATAGATAAAAAATATGGTTAAGTAATAAAATAAAATTGGGCAACTAACTAAGTCTATCAGCCTCAAATCAACATACTAGTTTGAGACTTTATCATACAAGGGTAGTTTGGTAGTTGTTTACTTTTGCTAGAATATAATATGCGGTTAAATAAAAGCTCGATTGTTTGTCATTCAATAATCGGACATTAATCTAATAGTGTTTTGTTCTTACACTGTTTTTAGTTGCATTTGGCGGCTTTGGCAAAGTTTTAGGTGAGGATGGGCATACTGTATAGTAAAGACAAACCACATTAAAATAACACGGCCTGATACTTATGGTAACAGTTCTTTTGACACTATACTTGATCAGCGTTTCTACAAAACTTACAATAAGGGGATTTTTATCAGTCTGGCATTTTCAGTAGCGACTCCCCTTAAGTTCCAGATAAAGTGTTTACTATAAATAAGTTTTGTGTAAAACGTTGTATGGATCGTTAAATGTACAAACCTTGTTGAGCAGAGGCTTCGACGACTTGCCATACGGAGTTGTTGATGTCTCCAAACGGTGTGTCCAGACTAGACTTGAGACCGTCGCTCAGCAAGGAGTAGAGAGCTGGGCAGAGGCAACTGAGGGCCACACTAGAGACTAGCTCGTTGGGGCCGTTGGACTGGGCTACTAACTTGGCTGCTGCTGTCGTCACAACATCTACTAGCTCTGCAACCAGATATTCACATCAATACCACAACAGATTTTCATGTTTCTGTTAAAAACTGTGTACAAAAACAGTTAAGATATTTTTGTAAAGGGTATGGTTTTAGGAGCGCAAAAATATATGTTATCTCAGCACAGACAATGTGTATGTAGCTATCAATGTATGGAAAATGAGTTTGCAGCCAATCAGCAATTGTCAGATTATAGAATTCATAACCGTCATAGTGGAGCTAAGTAAACTCGATGATAGCTGAATAATTCTGAGCACGAGTTAACTTTCATTTGACCTCGGTAGTTCTTTCCTGCTTTTGTCTGTTTGTTCCAGTTAAATAGAATTGTAAAGCAAAACAGCCGATAATGACTAAACGGCAAACAAAATATTGCAATTGCATCATATGGCTTCTTCTTCGAGCTCACGAATATTTTAGGCCAGGCAAAAATAAAACTCAATATCAAGAGGTGGTAGTACTGCTACCAACAGAAACATTTCTAATTTTAAATAAAGTGTGTTTCAAATAAATTTTAGCGTATGTAAATTTCTTCCAAACTTTTTTACCGGAACTAGGAACTGAGAACCGTTCTCAACCATGAACCAAACCGGAACCGAACTGTAAAAAATGTAACCGACACATAATTAATTTGGTCTAAAATGAGATGTATGAGTTTTAGAATATCCAGTACCATGAGAATAGGGTATGTGAGAGCAAATGATTTGAGCAGTAAAATTATGCAATTGAGGTACAAATTAGGAATGAATAATTATTTTGAATGGTTTTAAATTCCAATACAAAATGTTGAAGAGTAAATCATTTTTTTAAGCTTTGCTTCAAATGCATCGCTTGAAGGTACATGTATCGCTATTTGATGGATTTTCTCTTCATTGTGACTATGATAAAACAAAATAGCCTTTAACATACCAGATTTGGCTGAATGTCGAAGTCTTTCATGGCTAAAGCTGACTTCCAGATCTTCAGTGATAGTTGTCTCATTGAGACCAGCGCCAGTCTTGATCTAAGAAAGAAGTTTAAAGATTAGGACATTATAATTTCTTAGTACAAATATAAGATGAAATTGGCTAGGATAGTAAATTTACAAATATTGAAAGGACGATGATTTGTAGTCAGAAAAAGTGATATGGTCTATGGAGAAGACTTTGAAGTTTATCAAAATTTTGTGTGAAAATTAATAAAGAAATATTCACAAAATTTTTTTTACTATTTTTTTATTGGGGTCTCCATTGTAGGTACCTGATGAACGTGATGAATGATCCTCAATTTGATCAATAGAATTTCAAAAACCCTTTGCATATTTTATTTTTACTTTTTAATTAATATTTTCCCTCATCTATTCATTAAAGGAAATGTTGGTATTGTTCAAACTAGTAGAAAAGTAATTGCAGCTACAAGAACTTTTTTAATAACTCAAACTCTAAGAGAATTACTGTTATCAGTGTTATCAGGAACTCTGGTAGTTCTCTATCAGAGATTACTACTAAGAGAGTATGAATCTCATGAGCAAAGAGCTGTTAAAAGAAATAATATATATGTAAGTGGAGTGGTTGGCAATACAGTAGGTTGTATATGTCCATTTTTATATGACTAAAGCCCTGCACACACCAGATCGATACTCAGTGCAATCCCAGAGCAGGCACAATATTTTTCTAGGAAACTCTCTTGCGATATCAGTGGTCTGTGCGATACCATGGTGGCTTATGGAGTTGCACATACCAGAGTGAACAGCAATACCGAGACGAATGCGAAATTGTCGCAGTAACGCTGCATGCACTGTTCGCAGCACTTTATCGCAGCGATACCATGCGGCCAAACCATGAACTACTCAGTTTTGTCTGTCCTGTCCGTTCCTTAGCCCCAGCTCCACAGTAGTGGGTACTTTCCTTTTCAGCAATTAAACTCACCAACTCATCAAAAACATTCCTGATTGATTATAAAATATATTTTGAATCTTTTTTCATATTTTCTTAACTGGGGCATGATGGTATGGTACTCGCAACATGGCAGCCGTTCTTTATTTATGTCGTGTACCCACATTTTCCTTACTCATTCGCCTTCTAGTACAGCTAGTAACAGCAACACTTCTTCTAGTGATGGTCAAAACCAGAAATTTTGAATCTCAAAACCGAAACCGAAACTTTAAAAAATCGAATCCCGAATCTCGAATCTCAAAACCTAAACGCGAAACTTTTTTACTTAGCTGGTTACAAAGGTCAAGATTACAAAAAATACACATAATCAAAACTGAAAGAGATATACTCCTGACTGTGACATAACATAAATATGTGAATGTGACTGATAATCTTAAAACCCAATACAAAATAAGTGTTCACAAACAAAAAACAAAAAAAAAATTAATTAAACTTCTAACACCAACATAAACATGAATATTAGATTAATTTAGTGGTCAATATTTCTTTGTGTTTAGTAAATATTGATGTGAAACTGAATTGTACCAGTTATAGTATTTAAGATACCTTTTGAAGTTCAGAATCAAATTTACTTGTTTCATTAATGGTGATGTTTGCCCTGTTGCTACCTGCTTGTTTGGAAACAGTGTTAAAAACAATAACAATGGCACAAAAAATTTCAGCAGTTTCAAAAATAAAACTGTCAAAATCTTCAATTTCGAAACTTGGTGATCGAATCTCGAAACCGAAACTTTCCTAAGTTTTGATGGTTTTGAGATTTCAGATTCGGTTTTGACACATCACTAACTTCTTCTAAGATGTCATGGTATTAAACAAGCATACAGAGCAGTGCCTATACAAACACTGACTATAACACAACACTTTTACAACTAGAGAGTCGCACAACCACCACACCCTACGCTCTCCTGAGGTGTACTGGCTTTCCCGCGGGTCTCTTTTCCTGCTCTGGTGTGAAAACACCCGTTTCCGCTGCGATATTATCACCCAAGTATCGCAGATAAAATTCTAGAAATTGTATCACGTCGCTTCAGTAATAAAGTATTGCTCCGGTGTGTGCAGGGCTTTATAATGAAGCTTATAATATTACCTGATAAGTTGGTTTATGGGCGACGGAGACTTGAGGTGAGTTAGGTGGAGTCATAGACGGGTCTTCCCCACTATCAGCAAAACTCACACTCTTTCGACCCTGGCTCAGAAATCGGCTCACCTTTAAAAAGAAAAATTTATGCAACTTGGGGTTTACATGAAATATTAATATATTACATTTTAAAATGTTTTCTCCCAGACCTCACACTCCTCTGTATGTATGTTCCAGCACCATGTGGAATTGAGTGTGCTAACACATTCTCTCCTAGCCGTCACACTACTCTGTATGCATCAGGGTGTCTACTACATTCTTGATGAAAAAATCATGGACTATTACCATATATTTAATGACACTTAATTGTTACCTTTACCGGTGTTGTTATCAAATACATTTTCCAGATTTGTCTAACTGTATTCATAATTTTTCACTGTAGTTGTATCAGAAGGATAAGTAAGTAATAGATAAGAGTTAAGTTTCAAAATAGAAATTTATTGGAATGAGACAAACATTTACTTAGGTACAGCTTTAAAGTGTAGGCTACGCAAAAGCAGAATTTCTGAAATGCAATTATCGTCTCCTGTGATAGCACGAAAATCCTGAATATCCCCAAAGGTAATGGAAACATTATCAACGTCTTTCGCTATTGTGGCAAAATCCTAAATACACCCGCAGTTGTGTGGTCATTTTCATCATCTCCAGCGGTCTCAGAAACGTTGTTATCATCGCCATTCGCAATTGGGGCAAAATCCTGATTGATGCATTTAATGTATTTACGCTATGTACAAACAAAACAATAAATAAGGCATGTTTTAAATTTGAATAGCTCCCGAGGTCGTGTAGATATCATCATCGTCTCCTGCGGTCACAGAAATGTTATCATAGTCTTCTGCTATCGCGGCAAAATCCTAGACATCTCCCGAGATCATGTTGGTATCACCATCGCCTACTGCGATTATAGAAACGTTACCGATGTCATCCGTGTTCATGGCAAAAGCGTAAATATATATATCGTGCGAACTACCTAAGCTATTTAAGGACATAGTGTGATATTTAAGGATAATTCCTGTACATTTCATGGTCAGCCCAAAATTAAGTACAATTCCCGGTTTTTCCCAGATATCCCATTTGGTTGACACCCTGAATATGGTCTAGCAACACGTGGGAGTGAGTGTGTTACAAATTTTCTCCCAGCCGTCACACTTCTCTGTATGAATGGTCTAGCTTAAAAACTGAAAAATTAATTACGTATGCTACAAGTCATAACAATCTTCAAAATATTCTTATAGGTCATAAAACTGGGAACTATTACTATTGTGTTGCCAAGTCAGCAAAATTTGTTAGCCTAATTATTTTGTGTGCATTAGAATTTTTCACTGTGCTGCACATTAATTGAAAATAGAACTGCATCCCATACAATATTTTCTCAAAGGCTAATCAAAAGACAATTTTGTTGGCATTTTTAGGCAGTAAGCTATCAAAATAATAAGATTTCCTGCCTCTTAATAATGTCTTCAAAAAATATTTGAGCTTTGTACAAGGTCAACATTGTGATGGCCAAAAAACCTTGAACATTTTTTGAATCCATTAGTTTACGAATGATTGTTAGTTAAAATAAACTTTAGGAGCTAATGAGTTACCTGCTGGCGGAGGACATCCATATCTCGGGGGTCCCACTGGTCCCCGCTCATCTCCAGGAGTTGTTGTAGGCGAAGTGCATGAGTGGTGGGGGGAGTCGGGGGTCGCCACATCTCTCCGCCAAGCCCCTCATCCGACCCTGACAACTGACTACCACTCGATTGCTAGAAAAAGATAAATTATCATAAAATAGCTACAACAATCCTTTTTTGCAGGTCCATTACTTTCAGTCTTTCTTAAAGCGGATCAAATATATTTCATTTTAAGCTTTAGTATATAAAAATATACTAAAGTTTAGTTATTTATATTTATATATATCTATTATTACTATATTTATTTATTTTTCATTGATAGTTTTTTAAATTAAACAATCACCTAACTTCTAATTTGAAAGTAAGCGACAACTAGGAAAATAAATTTTACCTTAGCCTTTGCTTTTTTGTCCACATCGGCCAATTCAGGATCATCTACATTGGCTGTCTCCATATCAAACATGCTATGTCTGTAAAATACAATAAATGTTAGTAGTGTTGCTCTTGCAATCACAATAAAAGTTCTGCTTGTAGGGGTTAGTCCTAGGGTTTAGTGAAATAGTTAAAATTAAACACAATTTACAATGTAAAAAAGAGACAGAGGTGAATACAAAAAATAGATTAATGTTTTTTTAATCCAAGTTAATCTCAACTCACATGACCTACAGTTAAGGGGATTCTACCCGGTCAATTCAAGATGGCGGCTAAACATGCTATGTTCCTGAACATGCCTCTACGGTACAAGCTCTCAACTCAACATTCTAAATCTAATTTGTCTCCAATGATTGTGTGCTTGTTGTGCTTTTAACATATCAGAGCCTGCAGTGGGTGGAGCAAAAATAATGTTTAACTATTATTTAGAAGTTAAAATTGCATGTAAATCAGACTAATTTGCACATTTACAAAATGATTTTGTAAATACACAAAGAATCAATTATGAAGTTTCAGTTCAGCCTATGCATAGTTTGGATCTTAGTAATTATTTTACAGTTTATTTCAACTCGATAAACACTTTAATAATGCCAGGAGGTTCTTTTTTGTAGGACCATGTTTACATGTAAACAGCCGGCGAGTGGAACCCTCTTAATAATTGTTTGTTTTAGACTAAAGGAGAATAATTTCACAATAAAAGCAATAATAACTTTGAATCCATTTAAAATATACAAGGTGTTCAAAAAAGGTGGGGACATAATTTTTGTAAGTGATTCCTTGGGTCAAAATAAAGAGAAAATCAAAGATAATTTTTTTTCCAAAATTGCTTTGTTAACCAGATATCTTCCATCATTTTGTATTTTTTACATACACATTTTTATCTTTGAATTTTTTCAACAGATCTTTATGAAACTCGGTACGTATGTTAAGATAGAAGGGGCCCATGTTAGAAAAAAAGTTATCTTGATTCAACTAAAAATTTCAAAATGGTGGCCATTTTAATTTTTTAAACTTAAATTACTAAAATATGGCTGATTTTATGAAAAAATGTCAATATCCCTTTTTTAGCATTTTTAATTCCCTATCCAACAATACCAAATTCAAAAAGATTGAATAACAAATAGCTGAAATATCATTATTTTAGTTGTTAAAGGAGGCAAACCTGATTAGCTTAGCCTTATTCTACCCCATTTTACCAACAGCAAAGTATCAGCGGTATCGAGAATCGAAACATCCCTAACCATATATGAAATATTCATTTGTGTTACTTGTGTATCCTTGCCCATTATTTGTTATTATAGAACAGTGCCACAAAGACTGCAAAGTGCAAATTGATTTTATTTCTCATTTTTCCTATCTGCAAGAATGTTTACTCAAGAATAAACCCAAGCTCTTTTAGGTGGAAATATTTTGTTCCAAAAATCGGGAAGGATATAAAAATCCCGTCCTGTCAATGCCTAATTAAAATATAACTTCAATATGACAGTAAAGTAATTGGATTAAAACGTCCTTTATTTAGCAAAAAATATATAAATAGCAACACTACAAGCTACAATTAATAAAGTGGTTATTTTAAGTCTAGCACAGAGACCAAGCAAATATGCCTAGCATTGGTAAAGGTTTGGTTAACTTATTCACATACAATTAGGCTACATCTAACACTTAAAATTTAAAATGTGTTAAACCACTGTATGTTCAGGATTGTGGTATAAAACAGTTCACTGAATAAGGATGTAGAAACCTTTTAATATTTACAATATTAGTAAAATCAATAATTATAATCCATGCTTAAAATTGTTAAAATGTGACTGGTATTAGTTAGTTATGAGAATAGAGAGGAGTTTAGTTCATCACAAAAACAAATGAAACAAGAAAACTATGAATAAAACACAATGGCATTGACCTATATACTGATTGTTGAGAAAGAAGAAACTACAAAGCAGTAGAAAAGGGCAAAAGGGGGGGGGGATGTTAAATAAGACACTTGAAATGATGAAAACCAAGCACCTAGATCAACCAAATGTATCTCTGTAAAGGGATTAGTTTAAAAATATCCTCCACAGAGATTGGTGTGTTTATAACACTCAAATGATTTAAGTTACTTCCTAGTATAGTTTACAATAGCAACAAATTAAGTAATTTAAAATTGTTAAAGTATTTTTTTATAAAAACGGACAAAACTTTTATTTCCGTTTCTACAGTCCAGGATAGACACTGAAAAATATTGGACCAAGACAAGAAATATTAACTTTGAAAGAGTAGTGTAAAAGATAACCTAACTTGTTAAATGTTATTACTATTCTAAATTACATACCTTTTCTTGTTGGCTTGATTTTTGTGAAGTTTAGTATTCTCAAGTGAGTTTCGCAGAATACCACGAGGTAAAGGAGGTCTTGGGGGTGCAGGGACATTCTTCTCCTCTGGCAATGAAATTGATCGTTTTGGTAGAGGAGGTCCTGCAATGAATGCAATGTTCTTAACTATATCCCATTTAAGATTACCTCAACTAGTTTAGAAAATTACGTGTTCAATTATCAGTTGGTTGGACAGACTTGAAAACAATAATAGTCAGTATCTTGAGTTCAAGTGTCTCATCCACTAATTAGCACTTAACAATCCAAAACCCAAGTGGACGGGTAAATGCAAGGTGGAAAGAGGTAAAAAACCATCCAGTGCAGTAGGTTATGTCTTGTATCAGATTCAACTTATTCATAAGAACATTATCTTCAATTGAACCATTGCTTTATTTTATTATTGTATTATGAAGTTATCTTTATTATCACTAGGTATTATCTATTTTTTATAGCGATGGACGAGACTGGATTTTAAGTTCGAGACGAGATCGAGGCGAGATTATAGATCGCATTACTATCAGGAATCATTTGTTTGCGTAGTTTTACAATGATTAATAAATAACAATAAAGCACCATTAAAACAACAACTAAAGTACAAAAACTAATTATTTATTACAAAGGTTGACACAAAAAAAGGGTATAAAATAACAAAAGCTTTTAGGAACTTAAATAGTTATGAAAATTTATAATCTAGAAATCTCGTCTTGCAAAATTCTTGGAGCAAAGTCAATCCCTCTCAAACTAACAAGATGTTTTTTTGTCTCATAAATTACTAAAAATATTTTAAGACTTGTCCATTTCAAATTTTTTACAAACTTTACAAAAATAGAGCGGGTTTGTCCTATAAAAAACCTCCAAGTGTAGTTTATACTAGGGATGGACGGGTCCCGAAGTTTCGGGAATTTTTCGGGAAAAAAATATTCCCGATTATCGGGACGGGATTACCTTTGATTCGGGAATTTTTCGGGACGGGATTTGGTCCGATCGTCAGCGATTTTGCCGTTCGCGAGTGCCGATGACGCCGCTATTGCGAGCGATAGGTCCGCGAACGCAGGAGACGAAGTCATTTCGACAATTGCGCCGTGGCCGCGGAGTCATAACGACGATCATGCCGTGATGGCGAGTCATACCGACGATCACCCCGTGACCGCGGAGTCATACCGACGATCGCGCCGTGACCGCGGAGTCATGCCGACAATCGTGCTGTGACCGCGAGTCATACCGACGATCACCCCGTGACCACGGAGTTATACCGACGATCGCGCCGTGACCGCGGAGTCATACCGACGATCGTGCCGTGATCGCGAGTCATACCGACGATCACCCCGTGACCGCGGAGTCATACCGACGATCGCAACGTGACCGCGGAGACATACCGACGATCGTGCCGTGATCGCGAGTCATACCGACGATCACCCCGTGACCGCGGAGTCATACCGACGATCGCAACGTGACCGCGGAGACATACCGACGATCGTGCCGTGATCGCGAGTCATACCGACGATCATGCCGTGATCGCGAGTCATACCGACGATCACCCCGTGACCGCGGAGTCATACCGACGATCGCGCCGTGACCGCGGAGTCATGCCGACGATCGCGCCGTGACCGCGGAGTCATGCCGACGATCGCGCCGTGACCGCGGAGTCATGCCGACGATCGCGCCGTGACCGCGGAGTCATGCCGACGATCGCGCCGTGACCGCGGAGTCATGCCGACGATCGCGCCGTGACCACGGAGTCATGCCGACGATCGCGCCGTGACCGCGGAGTCATGCCGACGATCGCGCCGTGACCGCGAGTCATACCGACGATCACCCCGTGACCGCGGAGTCATACCGACGATCGCAACGTGACCGCGGAGACATACCGACGATCGTGCCGTGATCGCGAGTCATACCGACGATCACCCCGTGACCGCGGAGTCATACCGACGATCGCAACGTGACCGCGGAGACATACCGACGATCGTGCCGTGATCGCGAGTCATACCGACGATCATGCCGTGATCGCGAGTCATACCGACGATCACCCCGTGACCGCGGAGTCATACCGACGATCGCGCCGTGACCGCGGAGTCATGCCGACGATCGCGCCGTGACCGCGGAGTCATGCCGTCGATCGCGCCGTGACCGCGGAGTCATGCCGACGATCGCGCCGTGACCGCGGAGTCATGCCGACGATCGCGCCGTGACCACGGAGTCATGCCGACGATCGCGCCGTGACCGCGGAGTCATGCCGACGATCGCGCCGTGACCGCGGAGTCATGCCGACGATCGCGCCGTGACCGCGGAGTCATGCCGACGATCGTACTGTGATTGCGAGTCATACCGACGATCATGCCGTGACCGCGAGTCATACCGACGATCACCCCGTGACCGTGGAGTCATACCGACGATGACGCCGTGACCACAGAGTCATACCGACAATCACGCCGTGACCGCGGAGTCATACCGACGATCGCGCCGTGACCGCGAGTCATACCGACGATCACCCCGTTACCACGAGTCATTCCGACGATCACCCTGTGACCACGGTCATTTTGACGATCGCACCGTGACCGCCAGTCATTTCGACCACGAGTCACAAGTTTCTATAGATACCTGTAAATTGTTACCCATTTTTTGGTTTTTTTATAAATCAGTGCCACAAACGGTAAAAATTGATGTTGTATGTCTTTTTTGGTAACTGCAATACTCAAAGACATTCTTTTTATGCACAGAAAAAAATCCCGTCCCGTCCCGTCCCGAAAATCGGGAAGGAAATAAAAATCCCGTCCCGTCCCGTCCCGAACTAAAAATTCAATCCCGTCCATCCCTAGTTTATACAGTAGAACCTTGATAACAAGACTCTCATGGGGATTGTAAAATAAAACTTGTTATCAAGGTTGACTTCTTATCGAGGTTTGTAATAACATGTGATTAGGGGTAACATAATTTTAAGGGGATTTGAAAATGACACTTGTTATCAAGGGCAACTTGTTATCAAGGGTCTTCTTATCAAGGTTCCACCGACGGAAAAAACCATTTACATTGACAGATTAAACAGGAGTATTAATGTAGGTGCAAAAACAAGTGATATTAAAAATTCACTTTTGACATAACACACCCCACTTTTACTTAACAGACAACAAACATGTTTTCTACCAAGAGTTTGGTAACATTCATACAAAAAATATCCCACAACAATCAAATTATTAGTAACATGCCATTGAAGTTAAATAATTCTTATCGAACCTGAATGGCCAGAATCAGAAGTGGCACTGTCATATCTGTAGACAAAGAGGGGGTTGTTGGCGGAGTGAGGGCCTGGACTAGGGTTGGCACTGGAGTCACTCAGCAGAGTTGATGAACCTCGGTAACCAGACGAAGGCTGCGTGCCTACGCTTGATGATGATGAGTTATTGCGACCTGTCAAAATGAGTGTTCCTTATATAGACGAATGTGAACATGTTGGCCAGCCTGTAGTGCAAGACTCCTGAAGTGATCAGACTACTCACTAAAAAACTCCTCTACTATGTTGGAGTTCCCAAAATCCCCTACCTATTTGTAGGACCCGAAGATGATTAATGATTGTTGATTCGCCTGTGGCAGTGCAGAGCCTGACCTCTGCACAAATGCCACACTTTCTGTCTAGGCCCCTGATAATGCACCAAAGAGTACGATTGGCAGTGGAACAAACCAGCTCCTCTGTACTCAGGGTGCCCTAGTAAATGCCGGTCAAAAAAGGGAGGGATATGGATGTGGTGTTGGGGATCAAGAGGACGAAGGAAGGAAGGGAAGAATGATGGAGAATGAAAGGAAAGACAAAAGATTTTGGGGACCAAGCCAAATTAGGAAACTTGGCCTGGGAGAAAATTGGGGTACAAAGAGATGGATCTCCTACCACCTATTAGTCGCCAAGGAAGGCAGCGGGCCTATATTTACTTGGAAAGCCACACAGGGCAAACATAAGAAGATAAGATTAGGGAAATGCTTAGTTATGACATCATTTAATGGAAGATTGGAACAAACTCAAATATTAAACTAGAGGGTAGAATATATCCCATCCTCGTGTCAAAGTTGCAGATGTAGTTAAATTGAGCTACTGAGAGTGTGTGGGGTGTGTGATCAAGTACTGATCTTTGTTGTATATACAGACTTTTACTCTAAGCTAAACTGAAAAGACAACTTACTGTTAACTATAGCCTATTTTATGTTAACATAAACAATAAAGTATTTAAAGTAAAAGAAAATAGAATTTTTAAAGTAGCACAATCTGTGAGAGGCTCTGGATGTCTACGCCAGTCTCCTAAAGTTAATGATTGATGGTTGGAATGTACTCACTATCTGGGATGAAGGGGGTGAACTGAGTGGGCTTGGAGAGAGGTGGAGAGACACAGAAGAGAGGCTTGGTGGTGGTGCACAGGTCCTTGTACTCCCTCAGCTCAGGGATATCACTGAGCAGAGCACAATACTCAGGAGGCAGCAATACGGCTAGACTCTCCCAATCTCTGACATGACTGAATCCTGAAACACATCATACTAGATGTAATCATCTTGTCTATACAATGGCTCAACTGGTCACTTATTACTATGTAGGCTAAGTAAGGTTACCAATTTGTATCATAGCTAACTCTATACAACATTCGCTATGCAGTACCCGTAAGCACACTAGCCGTCCCAAAAACATTAGTACCCGTCAAACGCTCTCTAACGTCTTACTTTTTCTTACATTTTTTTTTTAGTAGGCTACATACTTACTTTTTCAATAACAAAGTCAAAATCTAAATCAGTAGGTCAAATACTGGTACACTAAAATTTACAGATTCAATTTCAATATGCAGTAAAACCTCACTAACCTGACACCCGGTACCTAACTCAACAGTCTGTGTAACTCGACAGTTAAAACAGTTGACATAGCGCACGTCTAGCTGGCTTTGTCTTATTAATGGGTTCGACATTTGAAGGACGGCTGAAGATTGTTTATAAGATTGTTTACTCGATAAGTAAAAATACTCATCTAAGTAATAAATTTATATATAAAAATTAGTCTGTTATGTATTCATTTATTTAAACGCATTTAAAATTTAAATGTTCTGGATTACTTGAAGACAACCTCTGGGTCCACAAATTGTCAAGTTAGTGAGGTTTTATTGTAAAAGTAAAATGTATTTAGTTCCTTTTGAGGTTTACGAGGACAGTTGACGCAACCCACACGGCAATATAAGCACAATGCCTCCATTAATGTCAATAGCATGACTATCTCCAATCAATTCCTAACCAATGTTATAAGAACAAATCTCTATAGCAAATTGAATGCCTAGAATCAATAACAATTCTTGCTGTAGTTAGTAATATTATCTTCACCAAAAGATTCAGGCGATAGCTTCCCCAATATTGCACATCATTGAAACAAGATAATTATGAAAAATAAAACAGGGATTTTTTTTTAGAGCTGTGAGAGCCATAAAGATATAAGACATAAGATCTATTAGGATTGCAGTGCTCCAACCCAAGCTTAAATTGTCCATTCCAGTAGCTAACATCATGACAAAGATTATCTCTGAAATTGTACATACTTCCTTCATTTAAAAAGTAGGCCTACCTTTCTTTCTGAGATGGTCGATATCGGCACAAGAATGAGGCCGAGGCCTTTTATGCTCAACATGAGGAGGGTTTGTTGGGGCCACAGTCGGGGACTGCAGAGGTGTCCAGCCGGGAGAGAACTTGACAGGAGTCAGGAATATCTGGTCCAGATCCAGCCTCTCATCCCTCAGGAAGCCCAAGTCTGGCAGGGTGTAATTGGGGTACATGACATACACTGCTTGCTTGCCTTTCTCACCCGTCTGCAAACATAAAGCATGTTCAATATACATTATGAACAGTTAAGTGATGGAATTAGAGTGGGAAAGCTAACACATTTGGTAATCTGTTCCTTTGCTACACTAAAATCGGCCAATTTTCGTACAGTATTGGATTTTATTTTGTCTTTCACAGAAGTGTTTTTTTTATTGCTTGATTAGTCTGTACATGTACATTAATGTGCACTACTTGATGATGTGTAAGTTAAACTTGAGTGTAATGACTGTTTCAATTACAGCTATTCTCATTAAATTAAGAATATAGGTTATATACTTAATCTTAATCAGGTCTCTGTTATGAGGCTGTACACAAGGTGTAATAAACCAAATCAAATCGAGTTTTTCTATTCAATAAACATTGCTTTTACGTCAAACAATACCTAAAATGATTGATCTATACCCCAAGTAGAGAAAAAAATACAAAATAAGGTATCATAAGTTAACTAATTTTGGTAATCCAACATTTTCGTGCACCTTCCTGATTTTTTAAGTTTATGATTATCGAGAACCAACAGTAAAAAAAGGATGTCTACAACACCTGTTTTACAAAGATCAGGGTTTTGGGGTATTTTTGAGGGTTTTACCAAGCAGTTTTTAGGTATGTGTCAAGTATAAGTAAATTAAATGCAAAATTGATTATTTTGAATCCTGTTTTCAATATATTATAGCTGATGTTATGTTTACATTCTGAGATTGAGAAATGAAATGAATAAAAACCAATACTTAATTTTCAGTTTCATACAATTATTAATGAGTTGTAAGTTCATTCCGTACTTAACAATAGCGACTCGGAGGTGAAAATAAAGATTGTATTACTTACAAACTTGAGTTCGTAAGTACTCATTGTCAAGTATGTAATTAAATAATTACAACTCATTAATGATTACATGAAACTGAAAATTAAGTATTATTTTTATTCATTTCTCAATCTCAGAATGTAAACATAACATCAGCTGTAATATATTAAAATAGTCTAGACTTATAGATACAACACTTGTGTAACAGTGTGAAATAATGAAATGTGAACATATTACAAAGACACACTGTTGTCAGCAGATAAAGGCTTTTGATTCATGGTACACATTACAGTTCAAATTAAATGAAATTAGTTGACATAAAACTTCCAGCTAGGTACCTCTAATCTCAGTTATAAGCTCAAATTTTAACATAAAATCCTAACACAAATCACAATAAAATCATCACTTGGTTCAGTCAATTTAATTACGTTAAAAATATAACATTTGCAATAAGTAATAAAGATTAGGGATGCATTTTTATAAATTTATGTGGGTTTAAGGAGACTTTAAGAATCCAACTGAAGTATCATGTATACCTTGGTAGGCTGTTTGTTGTGGGCGGCCAAAGTGGCTGACGTCTGCATGCTAGCATCCACACAATGGAGTGGACACTGAGTGGCAGAATTGCGTACATGAGCTGATATCTTGGTAGCCTCCGTAGGATCACTGCTGGTGCTGCACTCGGAGTGGGTCTGTGTGCCACGGCGCAACTGGGACACACTTACTGGTGATCTGCAACCAAACACACAACGTTGAGTACTGAATGTCTGCAGACCGTTGTTGTCCGTTCAGTATTGGTAAAAGTAGATTTCCCATGGCTAGTTTTAGAATGGAAATTAACATAGTTAAATTGTGCTGCTGACAGTACGAGTACATTGATGTTAATTACTGATGTTTGTCCAACTGAAAGGATGACTTATTGTTAACTCTAGCATATTTTATACTGTACAATATAAACTAAAACTATCATAATAGTAGGCCTATCAAAACCAGAGGGAGATGATAGTCTTTGACTGCTCCGTGAGTGGTTTATTTAGATATGCTCAGTTTTGGAAAGAAATGGCTACAGCTGGTCCTAACTAACATTTTGCTGGTATAGGCTAGTACAGTGCAATTGACAAAAAACAACATAACTTCAACATCAAGTACAAAACTTTTGACTACGAATGGTTCAGTACATTCCCCATAATCCCCACAAGTGTTACAGTAAAAAGTTACACCATTTGAGCGTCTAGCTTGGGGAGAAGGGAGGGTTAAAATTTAAAAATTGGTAGTTTTTCTAGTTTTCATGCGATACATTTCAAAAAAGAATGGTCCTCTTCACAATCTTGCTAAAGTGAACCGTTGCAGGGTTAATAAAGGTTATAAGTGGACAATTTTTAAACATTTTTATAGCCTTAAAAAATATATACCATTTATTACTATGGAAACTATTTTTTGTATTCAGGGTAACGTTTTTGTATTTTATTATGGCAAATTGAGATTTTAGTGGTTTGCGAATGTTGGTGATGAGCCCTTGAAAGAATGACAACCTCGCTGGACCTTGCCCCTTCTCACAGGGTGCTACTTTTTCATGAAAATAAGCTTCCAAAGGCCCAAACAATTTCTTTTTCCTCAATAATCCCCAAGACAATTAGGAGAGGATTCAGTCCTATGCAGTAGAAAGTTTGGTTTGTTTTGATTTGGTCCAATGGTCTAGGTTTGTGATTAAAAAATAGCTTAAAATGGTAAAGCAAAGAATATTGAAGCGGAAAGTGCCTTAACCCCCTTAAAATGGTCCAAATCCTCTAATAGTCTCATCGTTGAAGAATACCCTAAGAGAAATATTTTGTTTATACAAATCAAGGAAATGCAACAGAGCTTTTCAGATGACTTTGGTTGGGACAAAACAAATTGTTGTAAGAGGTGTCACTTTCTAAGTGCTTGGAAAGTAATCCATTCAATTGGTTGTTTTATTTTAATAATGTAAAGATTATCCCTAAAATTTACAGCCATATTTCACAGGAGATGTTTTTAAAATTTAAAATTTTGTCCAGGCAAAGAACAGGCAAAACAGCTAGTATTTCAGAAAAAAAACAAGTTTTCCTACTTTGAGCCCCAAGGCTCGACTCTCAAAATGGTGTAGTATGGGGACTCTAGTAAACAATTTTGAGTCAAAATTTGGCTTTAACTGTGGGTGTTGAGGTCTTAGTTTTATTGCACTGTAGTAGTAGTAGGAGTTTAAATCTAAATGGATGTAAATTACTCATAATCTAAGTTAGATTGTTAAAATGTAAATATATTGATGAAAATAAATTTTAATTGTCTGGGCAGCCAAACATCTGTAGAGCTTGCCTTCAAACCTGAAGGTAGCGGTTTCAATTCCAAGCAGGTAAATTCTGGACCCAGATGTCGTCTACTCAAGTGGCATTTTAATTGAAGTCAAAGTTAGATTAAATACATCTTAAGGGAAAGCGGTCCAAACCCATTACCCATAACCTCCCACACCTAAGTCCAAGACGCTAACAACTAGGCTAGCAACACATCCGATTGATGATGCTATCTAACGAAAGGTTAACATAAAATAGTGACAAGACCAGGATTTGGATTTGGAACCAAAACTATGCTCAGGATTATTGTGCATGTCACATACCTGATGTAGTCCCTGTCCAGACTATTGTTGTTGTTTCCACTGCCTTGATGTCTAGATGTGTTGAGACTAGCGTCACAACTACATACTGACACGGAGCCATCACTGAGTCTCTCTACACTCTCAGACTCAGGGACCTCGTCTATTAGACTGTCTGCAAAGCTCACCCACTCCACTTGATTCTGATTGCGATCTGACGTCACTAAGTTGGCATTAACCCTGGAATCAAATAATACATAAGCTGAAATATCTCATTTAAATAGGTTTTTTTTTTTTGTCATGATGCAGCAAAAACGCTAAGAGTCATGTTATGTGTAACGTTGTTTACAAGCGTTACGGGGCTACATTAGCTCTTTTTCTCCCTAAGGCAAAAATTGTAGGGATAATTTAAGTGGAAAGGATAACAGTAGATACAGAAAACAACAAATTTTCCATTTGAACATATTTACATCGGTGCAGGTCATCATCATCATAAATGGATCTTATGCTGTTGTGAGCAGAAAATATAAAATGGAAATGATATATCTACTGTACCTGTTATCACAAAGTTGTTCATGAGTAGTCTGTGTAGTTGCATAGTCCGAGTGTGCCATAGCACATCCACGTTGTTTGATGAACAACCGGACTAGACTCAGTCTTGAATGTTGTTTCTCTGATGATAAACTGCTGTCTGAGCCAGACACTGATGACGAGTGTTGAACATCATACAGCTTCACACAACCTGCCGAAAAATGATTTACTAGTCATGTAAATTGAACTAATCGTCCTAATTCAAAGCAACTGGTTTAAAGTTGAATGTAGAAAAAACACACCTTCTTTATTTCAAAACCGACCAAAAGTAAAAATAATTATGAATTTCGGGAAATGTTTAGGTTAAAATGGGTTATTATAAAAAACTCCTTCTACAAAAATAAAATACAGTAGGCCTACCTTAAACTCGTATACTGTAGACTTACTACATTATGTTACAACTAGAGGTGTGCGGATATCCGAAAAATCGGGCCGGATTCGGTTCGGATATCCGTATCCGAACCGAGCCCAAATTCAATATCCGACACTATCCGTTATATATCCGACTTTTTCGGATAGACAATATATTTTGACGTTTTGGACAGAAAACTAAATCTCCATAACCATCATTAGTTTCCCAGGACAAAATTACAGCAATACGTTTCCAACGACCTAACAGCAAACGGCAAAGAAGCCGTATGATGCAATACCGATAACTAGTTTAGTCGTTATCGGCTGTTTTGCTTTACGATTAGATTCATCTGGAACGAACAGACATAAAGCAGAAAAGAACTACCATGGTCAAATGAAAGTCAACTCGTGCTTGTCTCGCTCCTGATACTAGGGGCGCTGCGTAATAGTTTTTTTTTACAGTACTGTTTCAAAGTAGAAAAATCTAGCCTACTACTGTGATGTTACGTAAACAATAGATTTAATGTTTCCCGAAAAAAAGTCAGAATAGAAACAATAGAAAGGCAACACAATAGAAGGGTGGGAGGGGTTGGGCAATGACCTCGAAAGGAGCGCGGGTAGTGAGTCAAGTAGGACCGGAGGGGGAAGGGGTGGGTAAGACCTTGAAGCTATATATAGACTTGCACTACTTCCCTAAACCTAAAGGACTAGCCGGTGAGTGGTATTCCAATCACAGGACAAGATACGTTGTTTTTTGGGTATTCATTGCCCGGTTTGACTTTGGATTGTCTTATTGTGTAGAAACTTTGAATAATAAAAAATAAAGTTAGAACTAACCACGATTATTTAGCATTGATTGTGTACATATTAAATGATTAAACGATAGGTACCATGGATATATACAAACTTTTGTCGTGATTTTAATTTCAACATCAAAATACAATATTGCACAATCGTGATATTTTAGGTCATTGACCTTTATTATGCATCCGGTATTGCTGTTTCAGAAGAGAAGCACGTTGATAAATTATAAATTGATATTCCCGTAGTTAAAAAGAATTATTTTATAAACCTATAAAACAAAATCATAAAATCTTACATAAAGATAACAATAACAGAAATTGTAAAAAGGGTATAAAGATAACAACGTCATTATTCTTTCTCTTTGTTCTTCTATTTCTTGGGTTTCCCTTCATCATGCATTCAACAAGTTGCCATGGTTACTAATCACCCATGTCATTATCATCTTTTGTGGCATAGCGCACAGCAGGGGGTAAAACTTGACGAAAATCAGTTAATTTTTACCTATTATTTAATTACCAATGAATGTACTTTATTGGTATTTGGTACTGTATTAATAATCGGTCAAAATGGTCGATTTTTGTCAAATTTTGCACCAAATTTATTGAAATTTCAAAGTGAATGAATATTAATAAAACAATTATTACCAAATATTTTTATTCATTTAAAAGATTGATTTGTGGTATTGGGTTCCCCACTGAGTGCAGCCGAGCGGCACTAATGAGGGTCGAACCTTCTTGGGGGTTGAACAATAGATGGCTTATCAGACCCGACCCTCCCCAGTGGTCTGGAGAAAGCTTGTAAACAAACTATTGCCCAAGCGTGACTTGACATTGGGCTGCTTCAACTATAATTTTGTCAAATGAACTGCGATGTGTCAAAATCAAAAACAATAATATTGGGACCATACTGCATAACAATAATGGACTGCAATTGTTGAACATACAATCCATTTTTAACAAACTAAGATTATACGATTCAAATACAATTATAAAAATTATCTTGGTATTTTATTTGGGGTGATGAAGTTATGTAGGCTAGTGTAATTCTCGGTTCATCAAGGTTCTACTGAATTATGTTTGGCAGTGAATAAGTGTAGAATGAAATTTATAAATTCAGGGATACACACCTTTTACAGAGTTATAAAGCCTAATTGCCCAACATCAAATCGTGAGCTTGAGCTCAGCTTAGTGCATTAGTGATGTTTTCTAAACTTGGCAAACCCGCAAAATGCCACTTAAGGCCAATAATCCGTTCAAGGAAATACAATGTGAAAATAAACTTGAGATCCAACTCCTTGTCTTGTGAGAACCAGGAAACAACATAAAACATAACCTCAAGTAAACAAACCCAAACGTTTGACATCAGTCCTGCTGAGCTAAGGTGTTGTGTGAAGATTTTGGCTGCTAGTGTACTTAATTCAAGCAACCAACTTTTTGAAAATAAATGTTGTGAATTGTGATTTTCAAGAGAGAGAAAACTGTGGACTTGGCTAGTTTGAAATTCTATAATTCAAAATCGTCATTTAAGTTTATTTACACAGCTTTACATTGTTTTATAGGTTAAAAATACATATGCAGCTTATTATAAACCGCGCCGAACTATCCGAATCCGAAAATATCCGAATCCGAACCTCCCAATATCCGATCCGATCTGAACCGAGCCGAAATGAAATTTCACTATCCGCACACCTCTAGTTACAATCAAAGACCATGTTAACCAAAACCATGATAAAGATTTAAAACTAATGGAAAATTAGCTAGGCAACGGGAATTGTCCATTTGGCGTGTTCAGTTGACCAGAGTTGGCCGAGTAAATTTAAATTTTTGGAGCAGTCGATAAGACAAATTTCACAACAGTTTTATCAGTAAAATTTTGATATACAGTGGTATATTTTAGGATTTTAGGTATCGTAAATAAATTACGTGAAACTACTTTTGTCAATCTCTTTTGACTGAAAAAGAATGGTGTTCAAGTCATGGTTAGGAGTCAAATTTATTTCTGTTTTGATTGCAAAATAAACATGTTATTATTATTTACTATATTTTCATGTAATTTGACCAGGAAGGAAACAAAATTTCGGTTTTATGTTTAAAGTTTTGATTTTTTAATATCATTTTACTATAAATTGGTTGACGTTGAAAGTTCAGTAAAAGACTTAACAATTCCATAAGTTGCATGTTTACTTCCAAGGGCATAAGTTGCTGCGATGGGCTATTGGCTATCGCAAGTTTATCTTTTATACTTTTGTTTATAAATTCTGCCCTCTATTGAAGTGTACAATATTTTTACATGCTAGTTAACTAACCTAGGTTTGGTCTGGATCTAGTCAAGTTGGGTAGACTGGCAGAGGAGTGACGCATACAGTTGTTGTGAAGGTTGCGCCGAGTGACCATCTTACACCAGGTAGTGCGAGGTGCATCTGAGTTGGCCATTGCTGGACGTCTGGTCTCTGCACTGGACCATGTTCCCGACCCACTGCCACTACCACTGCCACTGCCAGTCACACTTTCCCCTGAAATATTACAATAGATCTTACATAACCAAATATCTGGTAACATGTAAGGAAATTTTAAAAAATGTTTTGGTTATAACAATAAGTGAAATTGATCATAAAAATCATTTTGTTTGTATAAAAGTGACTCACTTAATATGGTACTTCAATCACAGATTCACAGTTTCTCTATCAAGGAATACAACTTTAGAAACATAGAGAATATAGAATCACCTGTATCATGGCAATCTGAATCTTCCCCCATGACAGTACTGCCTTCAAAGGCTATGGTGTAGTTGTCCTTGTTGGCCTGGCAAGTTAGCAGAATGTCCTGTTCCTGACAGTCCAGAGAGTCTACACTATAGTTGGGGCACTGAGGTAGAGGACTCTCTCTGACTGGTGAGAAGAGAGGACCAGACTTGCACATGGACTCACATTGTGCGCCCTCCTCCTCCTCCTCTTCCTATACAACACATCACACAACTTATAACATTACACTCTAGAGAGTCTACACTATAGTTGGGGCACTGAGGTAGAGGACTCTCTCTGACTGGTGAGAAGAGAGGACCAGACTTGCACATGGACTCACATTGTGCGCCCTCCTCCTCCTCCTCCTATACAACACATCACACAACTTATAACATTACACTCTAGAGAGTCTACACTATAGTTGGGGCATTGAGGTAGAGGACTCTCTCTGACTGGTGAGAAGAGAGGACCAGACTTGCACATGGACATTACATCAAGCACAGCAAAAGTTTTAACCCTTCTGCTCAGTGGTATGGTGAAAAATAAACTGAAAATGGACTTGTAAAGAGCTACTTGTGCAGGTTGAAATCGTGACATAACTGGATTTAAACAATCTATCGCAACAACATTTAAACAATCTATCGCAACAACCTGTGATACTGATTTGCGTGAGAGCTTGCATGAGGAGTGTTATGTAAAATCATGTGTGTGTTTCCATCATCAGACAAAACTTGTGCAATATCTGTTACAAGTTGTATGGCCTGTGTCAACCTATCTTTGAACTGGATACAATAGTTCATTGCTTAGAATAATTACCTTGTAGAGTTTAAAAATAAAAATCATTGTCTGAACATTGAGTTTACCTAATTTAACTAAAATATGGTAAAGGATTTGTTAAAAATCATTAAATTTGAGGGATGAGAGAACATTTTCAGAGCCAAAAACATATTTTTCCAGATTTCAATAAAGGTTCAACTTACACAGGGTCAGTTAATATGCTTTAGTATTTTAGTTTTGTTCATAACATTGGATTAGCAACAAACATTGTCATAGTAAGTTGGGATGGTTGTATATACTAATAATTTCAAGTCTGCCAAACTTGGCTATAAATTATGTACACTAACAAATTGTTTTGATGTCTCAACTGCTACTGTATTATAGATAACTCCACCTGCTCAAGTTACTTCAATCAGATACTTAAACTTTAATTGAAGTTTACAAATCACAGCAGTGCTGTAGCCCATATGGATAAACAATTTCACCAACCAGCGATCTTTTATTTATTGGTTTTAAAAACTAAAGACAAAAGACATTAGACTTGAGAAAAACACCAAGTGCTATTTTCAATGTTGTTAAAAAAATTTCTGACATTTACATATTGAAGCAAAATGAGGAGGCTGGTGTTATGTAATTAATTTATTATAGTAAAAATCAATGCACAATCCATTAATTTATACAGGGAATAAACACAAATTTATCATGAAACAGTCTATAATCAAGACTATCAAAGACTACTACAAACCAGGCCTTAAACTTGATATAATTATTAATAGGTGTATTTAAAATTTGATGAAAGAATACTAACAAACAAACTAACGTTACATAAATTTATTAAATGGTTTAGAATTGGTATTAGTAACTAAAACTATGTCAAGCTAATGGTAAAGTAAAGGCGCCAGTTTGACTCACATATGACAGCGTCTGTTGTCGAATGTTGTCAATCAACTAAACATAATTTATCCTATCGTCAATTAATTTGCATTTACATTCTTGTACCATATACATTCATACTGTTTTATCTTGTTCACTTTGTCCCGTGGCAGATTCCATAGGGCAAAAATAAGGTATTAAAAGAAGTGTACTAATTGTTGATTGCTTAGGAATTATTGGCCAAAATTATATACAATAAAAAGTTGTTACTGCAAACAATATTCACTAAGAAAGGTTCCTTGTAAAATAATTTTAAAAGTTTTTTGATCTTATATTTTTAGCACAATAGAACACAACGAAAACGGCACTTGAAAACAGACTATTGAAATATTTAAACTTGATACTTTTATATACATTTATTTGAGGTTATAGTTACAAAAAACGTATAATTTGTCAATCTTTAAGGTAGCAAAATTGAACAAATTTTTTTTGTAATAATTTAATGGGGAGATGGTAAATCTGAACAAATCAATAATACAAATCTAATTCATGGACATACCCAAGAAAAATGTTTTAACTAAACAAATCAAACTTATACACACATGCAAGCTGAGGTTAAAGCCAAGTTTTAATCACTGTCATACTTCAATTAAACATTTGTACAAAAATGGATGAGGAACTTGATACAGGGTGGTACAAATATAATTGAGTTTGTAGAGCCAAAATCACAAGAAAAGGAAATGGTGCAGCCAAAGGGCTGTTTTTGATTTGAACTACGTAGTAGAAGGTTTGACGTATAGGTCTACATTTTGCTACTATTGTTTTATCTAAAATTAAATGCTCCTGTCTGTTGCACTAATCCTGTTGGTTACAATTTAGTTATAACACTTGATCCGTTAGAACTTTCAACGACTGAATCCCAAATATAGAGTAATCATACATGTTTTAAACATATTTTTTACTCAAGTACCCTAGGCTTTCAAAGACCTCCGAAACAATATAATCAATAATGTAAGAGCACTATTACAGGGAATTTGAGAGAAATGTTGTGAAAGAAGCTTATATTTTCTGATTATCTAATTTTAGCATTACAAGGTTTTCAGTTAAGTATGAGATCTCCAGCTCCAACTCATGTACGGTTCTTATTATAACAATCTATTATTTCAAATCACCAGGTCTCGTATCTTATAGCAGAGCCATTGATTATTTTCTGTCCATTCAAACAAAGGCCTAAATAACTGAAATTCCATACTTGTAAAAAAGAAAATGGGCTAAATGGGCTGCTATTAAAATAGTTAGCCAAACACGTCAATAAATTTATTCACAAGCCAACAAATACCGTAACACAAGTCTTAGCAAATACGATTGAACAAAACAAACTGACAAAAAGAATGATTAATAAAGAAACTATCTTAAGTAAGGCAAACTGCAGACAATTGCAGTGATGAGTCATGAGTGGAGAGGATTCTATTGTCGCACAATTTCAAGTCTTTTCTCTTGCTCACACTCCTAACAAAACTAAAACCTCTTGCGCCCCTGGCTTCAGGCCCATTTCCGCCCTGAGCTCAGCGATTTTTTGTTCCTAACTGTAAAAGCAGTGTCTTGCTGGAAACAATATATTCAATGTGCAATATGTAGTTCTAAAACTATGAGACCAATAGTTATATTTTCCATTGTAATCTTTAAACAAAATAAAACGTCAGATGACAGCTGGGATATCTAAAATTAGGATTGCAATGGTCAGAATAGCCCTAAAGACAGACAGTTGCAACTGAAGAAAGAGCTATGTCTAGAATTAGAAGTTTTTGGCCGAACTAGTTTAAAGAGAATGATGTTTTGAACTGTTAAATCTTAAACTGGTAGACCTCTTTTACATAACTAGATATTTTGTGCATAGTCTACTGAAAACATTGGGTTAGGCCTATCTGGAATTGAACGATCAGTGGGGAGCGTGTTAATGCAAGCAGTGGATGTAAATACATTACATTACAGTAACAATTTACAAATTTATTTTCCAACTGTACCATCCTTTATGGTTTGAAATAAAACAGATGTTTCATACGAAGCATACAAGTTATATTAATGGGTTAAGTTATTATTGTGTCAGGTAAATATAACAAAACAAAAGAAAAAAAAAATAAGAAAGCATACCACAAGCATGCACTGGCTAGCATGCAGTAGGCTACAACTAACCTGGGAACTTAATTGGGGGCTAAGGGAGGATTCAAAATCAAATTTGACCATCATAGAGCCAGAAACACTAGCAAACATCTCCCCTCTGCGATCGGACTGCCAACATACACAACGGAATATCATCGCAGGCTAATCTAACTTACTGTACATGCAATAAATGACTACAGAGAAAACATTGCAAAAAACTATAATAGATATATGTAGAACAGCAACCTTCGTTTGAATCTAAAGCCCAAAGATTATTATAAGGCAAATGGTTTTAATACAATAGAGAACAATTTTTAAGCAGATTATCTTAATAAGTTCTACATAGAACGTAAGGTTGAAAATTGATGCAGGTAACGCTTCACAGAAACAAATAAAATTGGGCAGCGATAGGAAAAATAAAGTTATAAATCAAGTGACTGTTTGGTTTCCAAAATGTATGCAGTGATGACAGTAAAAACAGCAATTAAGTAGGATTAGATATCATGTCAATCACTTCTTTTTACCTCTTCCCATGGGGTAGCGGATTTCTACCCCCGGATATTTACCCCCATGAAAAAACACCTACGTCATTTTGACGTCACGAGGGGCGGGGCTTATACACGTTCGAGAAACAGCCCGCGACTGGAAATCTACCCCCGGACATCTACCCCCGGACATCTACCCCCAGACATCTACCCCCGGACATCTACCCCCGGAAATCTACCCCCATTGGTCAGCTCTGCCGCGTATCGGCCAATATTCATTGTGTTGTATAATTGATTTTATAAATTGCTTTACCTTCTTATATCCAGTAGTAAACATGCGATATGTCGATGTCTGTTTTAACATTATCCATATTTATAATTCAATAAGTTGTAACAGTCCTTTTCAACCCGACCTACTTCACTGATTTTTACGATTGAGGTGTCTTTTAAAAGCTTAAGATCTAGCGCAGCACAAAATGGTAATTAAAAGGATATTTCGATTATGGCTTCAAAATGTTGACCCCTAAGCCTTTGATTTATTCCTAGAAGGTGCTTCCAATGGTTGACCAACTTTTACACTATACAGTAACAGTTTAAAAGTGAAATGTGAGGAGTACTCATCAGATCAATTTTTAAGTCAGGTTGTGAAAACATGAATGATCGTCTGCAACTGTAAACAGGAGATGAACAAGTTATGAAAATAATATAATATTGCGCACTTTTCACATGGTCAAGTGTTACATCGTACTGAACCATTGTTTTTACACACATTTCTTAAAGGATAAAGTGAATAAACTGTGGTGACCTTCCGGTTTATTCAATGTAGGCCTAGTAGGAATAATTGTTTAGTAAAACAAAACTCAGTTGGAAACTGTTAAATTGAGAAAGAGGATCAATAAAAGTCAGGTGTATAATGGTAAATTTTTCATATCATCTAGTAAAAAAAATAGTTTCTAAGATTTAAATGCGTACTAAGAAAGGATTTAAAGTATTTTCTCTTAAATACCTAAAATAAGACAATTCAGTTGTAAACTGTTAAATTGAGAAAGAGGATCAATAAAAGTCAGGTGTATAATGGTAAATTTTTCATATCATCTAGTAAAAAAAATAGTTTCTAAGATTTAAATGCGTACTAAGAAAGGATTTAAAGTATTTTCTCTTAAATACCTAAAATAAGACAATTCAGTTGTAAACTGTTAAATTGAGAAAGAGGATCAATAAAAAGTCAGGTGTATAATGGTAAATTTTTCATATCACCTAGTAGTAAAAAAATTTAGTTTCTAAGATTTTAGATGCGTACTAAGAAAGGATTTTAAAGTATTTTCTCTTAAATACCTAAAATAAGACAATTATTCAAAAATGTTAAAATGAGGCATTTTAAGGTAGTATACAGAACAGAATTAGGTTAAACCCGTCGACACTGACGGTTACTTTCAAGGCTTATGCTAATTCATTTTACAACTGCGATAAATAGATTGAAGTAATACAAATTTTGAGCATTTAGCTCTTTTGATGAGTAATAAGTGTAAAAGCAATAATGACTATTGCGTTAGTTACAAAATATGGTTGATCATTCAATGAATAAAATATTTCCCAAACCGTAGGTCTACGTCATAACAGTTATTATTACAATGTTAACCGGTTTCTCTTCTTTTGGAAGAACCTTTAAATAGTATTAAAATCGTATTGGTCAATCTTTTGTGATAAACACTTCCGATCCGCGCTCATGCATGCGCTGTTAGCTGTTACTGTATGTGAAAGTTTGTCAACCATTTAAATCACTGTCTGGAAATGAATCAAATGCTTAAGGGTCACACTTTTGAAGCCCTTTATCAACATATGGTTTTAAATACCATTTTGCGTTGAGCTGAATCTTAAGATTTAAAATTAGACCTCAATCATAAATATCAGTGAAGTAGTTCGGGTGAAAAAGGGCTGTTACAACTTATTTTATTAGGAAGACAGATACAGTAATGTTAAACAAGGCAATGACATATCACATGCTTAATACTAGATATTAGAGGGTAATGATTAACCGAAGAGACATTGATTTACATAAAACAATTAATAAAATCAATTACAACAATGAATATTGGCCGATACGTGGCAGAGCTGACCACTGGGGGTAGATTTCCGGGGGTAGATGTCCGGGGGTAGATGTCCGGGGGTAGATGTCTGGGGGTAGATGTCCGGGGGTAGATTTCCAGTCGCGGGCTGTTTCTCGACCATGTATAAGCCCCGCCCCTCGTGACGTCAAAATGACGTAGGCGTTTTTTCATGGGGGTAAATATCCGGGGGTAGAAATCCGGCGACCCCTTCCCATAACTTTTCTTCTCATGTGCGTAATTTAAATTGTATAAGCTAATGTATGTTCAACAGGCAAATGTTCTATATTTTATACCATACAATTTAAGTTTTGTTTTTTATTTACATCTACTTTTGTTTCATGACAATTTGTAAAATGCGATCTGAGCTATTCTATTAGCTTTATTGTACCGAATGAAAATTAATATATTTGATTTGATCTTAAAATCCCAAAAACTAGAAAACCTAAGAACTTAGGGATTTGCATGGAGGTTCCGCTTATGAGTCCTTGGAGCCCAAACGTTCTAACTCGTAAAACAATTTAAAACTACAAATAAAATTTCAAATCCCATAGTATACTAGATATTTAAATTACAATCCCTCTGGCGTTTGATAAAATATTTTGAGATGGTAAATAGCTCTTCAGCGGCTGTTTGAAATTAACGAAATTAACATTGCTCTTAAGGTGGGCAAATCCAAGATGGCCGTTAGCTTCCATGGACTCCCTTGGAGAACAATTCAAAACTATAAAGAACATTTCCAATATCACAGTAGATATTTAAATGATAATCACTTAAGTGTTTGAAAAAATATTTTGGACGATAAATAACTCTTCAGCAGCTGTTTTAAATTATCCAAGATAGCCGCTAGCGGAGGCTAGTCCTTGGAGAAGCCTTAGATGGGATTTTAAGAAATTCTATCTGGGGTCTGCCCCCAGTGGCCTTTTAAGTTTCCAAGAAATAATTATGGAGAAACAATTTGTTTACATAAGAGCACATGAATGGAGTACATTTAAATGTTTACACTTCTATTTAAGGAGACAGCAGTTAATATTTAAAATGTAATTTATTGAAACATGTGTCATAAATATTTATTGTATTAGATAAAATAACGTTGGTTGTATTATTTTGTCGTTTGAAAATTGCTGGTTTTCTGAGTAAGACTTGTTGTAATCGTTAAATAAAATTTTTAATCAAGATTTCAAAATCTATGTTTCATTTCAATGCATCTAAATAACAGCATATTATTGAATCTGTGGAGTAGGCCTAACTTAATGTCAAAGGAAGCTTCCTTATCAAGCTATATCTATTGTAGGGATGGCAACTGCCTTTTTAAATCACTATATATATTCATTTATGATAAGTACGCAAGAACGATAATCAGAGGTTCTTGATATTAGTTTAAACATGTTGCCATCATTGAGATGAATATTTGATCATTTAAAATACTGTAGTAAAATTTAGTAAAACGGAGAGTATGTTGCGGATATGATCCCAGTTCATATTTTTGGTAGATAATGAAAAGTAATAGCTGTTGGAGTTATTTAAAAAAAATGTTAATATTTTCTGTAAAAAAACTTAAATGCAAGATGTGTAAAAAAATAAATGTATAAAGTTGGAAGATTGTGTGTTACTAGAGAATTGAGAAAAGTAATTATGTGTGTACATTCTGATCAGTGAAAACACCATAAATAACGTAGCCCTGCAACTCTTTAGACCTTTGAAGGTAACAAACAAACTTTAACTTTGTGTCGGGTTTATAACAGCAGTATTTCACAAGAAAAATAATAATAAAAGCAACGTTCAAAAATGTTTTTAAAGGCGTCAGAGAACACAATTTGTCAAACAAGGTTTTTATGAAGCACATAATTTTACTTAAAACTGGGAGAACTGACTTTAACACCATCATGAGTAAAGCCGCCACGGGTATGCTAAGTATTAAATTAAAGAAAGACAACATGTACAAAGACAACTATGTGCAATAAAGGAACATACAGCTAAGATAAATAAAATTAAAAAATAAAATAAAATAATAAAATATCATCTAACCAACCACAAACCATGTGACAGCAATTTCACTCATAATAATTACAGCAAAAGTAATTAAAAAAATACAAGCATCTATCTACAATTAAACTGAAAACTATGCATATATGCTAAGGTGAGGATGCAGATATAGTATTTTACGCAAAAATCCGGTAAAGGAACCACGGGAACATCAATTATAGTTGATAAACGTATTATTATTGGACATTTCTCTGTTCTGAGCATATCTCTAGCAGTAGCGTACAGTTAGAATTTCTGTTTTGCTCTTTACACAATTTATTGCTGTATGCCTACAGTGATTATAATGTTTTTTGTCGAGTTTGAGGAAGCTGTGATTTTAAACAGAACTAAAAAATTAATGTTAATGAATTGAAAATACCCCGATTGCGCAATACAGTATTGAATTTTATTGACTTGGAAATCCAAGTTATGACATCAATGCCTATTTATACGGTATTACAATGTTTTAAGAGCCTTTCATAAATTTTTATATCATGTTGGACTACCCGTTGTTTTCAATTATGTGGTCCAGAATTTTATTTCTTGCTAGTGACAAATCCGGATAATTGGCGGTCGGGATTGTTGTGAGTCTGAATTACTGACGTTCTACTGTATTTACAAACATTAGATTAGTCCACAAAGTAAGAATTTATTCTAGGGCTTTTTAAAAGATGCATCAAGATGGATAGAAGTTTGTGAATGTGAGGTAGGCCTACATACCTGGAGGTCCTGGCAACACATTGCAGGTAAAGTGGTTAGTATGTCTTCTGCTCTAAAGTCCTCCATGTCCACCTGAGCCAGCTGGGTGTCAAGGTCACGAGCAAGGTCATCGTAGCAACCTTCCTCATAGCTGGCTGACAGAGAGAGGATACTACGATGCTGTGTCTCTCGATATCTGCACAAACAACATTCTCATTACTTTGTGAATACAGTACCATTAGATCAAGCAGCACTTACAATTTGAGGGACACCAAAATGATTTCTTTTAGCTTAATGATTAAAAATATTGACTGTCAAGATTAATTTTAAAGCGAAAACACGTGGGTATAATAATGAGGGCTGATAATATTAAAATTTGTATTGAGCAGGTCTTTGAAAAAGAAATTAAACCATTACAAAGAAAACAATTGAAAATGGGAACCAAAATTAAAAAATTTAAATGTATTAAGTACATACCCATGGAGAGAATTAGAACTAGACAAACAAAATTCTCTAAATAAAAAAGGTTCTACAACCATAAACCACAATTTGATGAAAAATGTTATCTTAAAAAAGTAGGATGGCAGATATTGAAGAATAAAACAATGTGGATCGAACGAATACTGAACCTCAACTGACATAAATGATTCACTAGGGCTTTCAGAACAGAGGATGTCAACTATTAGGCCCATCAAGCAATCTCCAACCACGCAAGCTGTGTATCAGCTGATATTTGCAACTACACAGACTGTTGGACACAACCCCAACACAACCTAGCCAACATTAGGCATCTATGGTAGATTGATTAAATAGTTAAAATATTTCCATAAAGCTCCAAAAAGTACAGTATACCATCAGTAAAGTATTTTTAAATTGAATATGAAGTTCTAGCTTAAAGATTAAAATGAATTCTGAGTGAGCTTAGAATGCACATTAGTAGCTTTGAGTCTTTCTGAGTTTTACTCAGAAAAATCAGCTGATTACTTGGACAGAAAGCTTCAGTTGCAAGCAGCAGATTTCTTTTTGCACATTCAAAAAGCCTGGATTTTTTCACGATGAAACAAGAGTTGGTATACAAAAGGTATCACTTACTGTAGGCTAAAGAGTATTGGTAAGTGAGAATCTGTGAAACCAAGTGGTTATAGCGCCCTCTTTCAAATCCTAAGGTTGGATCATGAGAAAGGTCTCATTACTGAGAAACCTATACCTAATAATATCCAGGAAGTTGGATGATAATGAAGTATTCTAAATTCTAAGGTGTCATTTATCATTAGGCTAATAATTCAAGTCTATGCACCATTGAGTTGAAAGCAACTGCAATTTTTTATGAGTCTGGATGATATGAGGTTGTATGAATGATCTGGACTGGGAAGGTCCTATTGACTCTAAACAAAATGGTACAACCCCCAATGCTGTAAAAATTACAGTTAAAAAGGTTTTGTAATTTTTGTGGTTTCAACCCACCGCTTACCCATTATAAGGGTTTGACAAGCCAATGGGAGAAAGTATCTGTCAATTTGCTAATGCCGTTTATTGTTTATTTTTACTTGGGCTACAACTTAAAAGGGCTCCCTCTCCCAATTACCAGACTTCACCATTATCACATCGCAAATCCCATGGATGCTCTCTGGCCAGCTCCAGTTTTGTGAAGCCTAACAACTTTGTCCCTATCAAGTTGGTATGAAATAGTGTTGTAAATGTAACCTAATTATATTCTAGTTGAGTGCATTTAGATAAGTTTTACAACTGTTTCCAACAAGCTGCTAAAGCCTCACAAGGCTCGACTGCAGCTAACTATAGATAACAAATCATATTCCTCCCAAAGTCCCAAAATTCATCAGTCAGCACTCAGCAGCATTTGTATTCAATCTTAAACAAGCTACGTGAATTTTAATCACAGGTAGGCCTAATAATATAAAGTCTTTAAGAACAAAAATAAAAATAAAACTAATAATAAATATCGTATGGATCCGTAGTTTGCTTATACGCTGCAATGAGGTTCCTCGCCGCTTGCTGATATCATTTGTGAACAGATGACACCATTCACAGCTCTGTAGCTGACGTACGCTTTGCTGTGTGTTTTAGAAAAACTTAAGTTATTGAATCTCCTGTCGCGTGCGAGATAAGGTCTATACATCTTTTACCACAAGAAACATATCTGATGCTGACAGTCATCATCAGATGGCTGAAGTTTATGACCCTAATACAATGATAGCGGGGAAAGAGCAGAAATAGGCTAGGGAGTTAAAAAATTGCTGTGAAAATGTTTATTTCAGAAGTAATTGTGTTTTTGGTGGGTACACAGACTTCACACAGAAGACCACAAAGGAAAAAGGATTTCACTGCTATTTTTACACTCCATAACCCACTTCCGTACTTAACCTTCACTCATTGCATTAGGGCCATAGCCTTCAGTCATCTGGTGATGAATGTCGGCATCCAATATGTTTCTTGTGGGAAAAAACGTATTACTGACCTTATCTCGTATGCAACGAGAGATTCAATAGTTTAAAATATAAATAAAAAACTCAGCAAAGCGCACATGTCAACTATAGAGCTGCAAATGGTGAACAGCCCTTACTCGAAAAACCACCCTCGTACAGCGTATGGCCAATAGGAGTGATGGCAAATGCCATATAGTAGGCTGGTGAAAACTAGTGAAGGGTTTTGCACTCAACACGTTCACTGATGAAAAGCGTCAACAAGGCGATCCCTAAAATGTGACGAGAGCCAGACATAAACACCAAACGGTGCATAAGAGAGACTCTCCAGCCGAAGCCATCCGCTAGTGGCAAGAACCTAAAACGGATGCAGCTGAAATAAATAATGGAACCGGCAACAACATGCTGACAAAGATTAGTTGATCCCCGATAACTATGGAGCTCACAGTAGACCAATCCTTATAGCTGTACCGTGACTCTGACCGGTGTCGTACACACCCTGTGCTAGTATGGCATGACTCGGATTGGAGTCGTCAGCAGTGAACATGTTCAAACTTAAAATAATCATAGGCTATTCATGTTTAATCATCATTTTAAATTGTAATTACATCTATCAGTATCTACTGCAACAAAACTAGGATGTAGACTGTCTCTTGAAAAAAAAAAACTAAAATGTCATATGTTGTTAAATAGAGAAAACTATATAAGTACCTGAAATTCCTGATTCCCTGACAAAAGTAACCACAATATTCCACATAATCACTTAACAGTATCGCTTCTTCAAGGTTCCAATAAGTGAAACTATGACCTTCCATTTTACCAAACACTGAGTTGTTTGACACAGCACTAGGATTGCATGTAGACAATGATACCAATCATGACAGAATGAAACTTCCACATTCCATTTCAAATACATCCTCCATTACATTCGTTCACAAACCAATTATAATAGCAACAGCCCTATACAGATCTGGTCCGCTATGTAACTTAGCTGCATGATGCACTGTATTCACTGTTATCTTGCAAAATTAAATCAAATCTGTATCACTTCCTTTAACTTATAACTAGGATATCATTGACAAAACGAACGGCCAAAACAAAATGCCAGTTGCAGGCAAGTTAAACTGGCATCTTGCCATTTGGCGAGAACAGCGACTGGGCTCCGACAATCTTAGCACTTCACCTCTGGTGGGAGAGGTTCAAATCAACAGGCTGTCTACATGTACTCAACTGGAATATAATTAGGTTACATTTACAACATTATTTCATGCCAACTTGACAGGGACAAAGTTGTTAGGTAGCTTCACAGGACTGGGGCTGGTCAGTGAGCATCCATGTGATTTGCGATGTGATAATGGTGAGGTCTGGTAGTTGGGAGCCCCTTTAAGTTGTAGACCTTGTATCAAGTAATAATAAACAGTATCAGCAAATTGACAGCTACTTTCTCCCATTTGCTTGTCAAACCCGTATAATGGGTAAGCAGTGGATTGAAACTACAAAAAAAATGACAAAACCTTTTTAACTGTAATTTTTACAGCATTGGGGGTTGTACCATTTTGTTTAGAGTCAAAATGACCTTTTCAGTCCAGACCATTCATACAACCCACAAATCATCCACACTCACAAAAAAATTCAGCTTTTAACTCAATGGTACATAGAATTTAACAATCCCTTAAAATCCCACTTTTAAATTACAACAATGAGAAAGAATAGAACATTATCAAGCAATAGGCGTGAAATGAGAGCGGCAACGCCCCACGAAATACAGATGACATAATTCTGAACTAATCACAGTGCAGAGTAGTATATGCGAGCTTCGAGCTAACCTCTCACTCTAAATTCTGGATCCTTTTCTCAGCTAATCTGAATATTCTGAATCTCACCTCAATCTGACATTTTCCAAAAAACTAAAGTAAACTGTCAGCTCCATCCGTAGAGATTGAGGTTATGTCTTAATCTTAGTGATTGCATAAGTACCTTGTTTAAGTATTTGAAATAAAATTATCAATGGAGGTTTGTTTGAGGCTATACCTCATTATAGGTATACCCCTATGATAAATTATTTGCTATCTTCATCTCTACTTAAGAACAAATCACTTTATTTTAGTTCCCTTCATTGTTTTGTTTCTTGTTATTTTTTCTTCTTGTTTATTCTTTGTTATATTTAATGTCCTAGGTTAGGATCCTGGTCATTGCCGCAACATTTCATCGGTGCATTTCACCTTTGTACTGTACCGGCTCACCTTCCTTTGCTGGATATGTTCCATGCAAGGGCAAATAGTCTATGTGGACGGGTAAATGCAAGGTTAAAAGACGCCATCAACCTCTTTAAAAAAAAGTATGTAGAGAGAGGGTAGGGGGTATGTAGGGCTACCAGATCGTAGGTTACATCTTGTTACAACAAACACAGGTGCAAACCACGATCAATATAAACAAAATTCAGTGTTTGCCCAGCATTTATACGACCTAAAAGATTATATCTGTGTGATTTCTAACGGTCTAGAGGTGCTACATGTAGGCCTATGCAGTAAAGTTAATAAATTACAACTCATTGAAGAAATTCAAAATTTACAAACTTAACTTGTACCACAATAACATTGCCAGTGGACTGGACATATCTCCAACGAAAAAATGTGGTTAAAGTAACACTCTATTTTCAATGTGCTCATAAACTTAAGTAACTGGCCATCTGACCTTTGTCCTACTGATAACATGGACAAGAATTCAAGAATGAAGGAGTCTGACACTGTAGTCTACTACCTACGCTGGGACCATCAGTGTCAGGTGATAGGCCTATCAAGAGTATTAAGTTTGTAACGTATCTTTTATTTATTTGTGTTAGTGTGACAGTTATGGCTCTGTTTTCGTCACCCTAACGGGCGAAACATCCACGCAACTCAGGTCTGCCATAGGCTTTCTAGAGTCCTCTTTTTGCTAAGGAAATTGAAAAAATCAGTGCCAGTGGATTTTTTGGTATCGGCCTATTTCGCCCTGTTCCACAGTCATATCTCATATGGGTTGTTATTATGGGGACACTGTCCAAAGAGTCAGAAGATTCTGCGGCTCCAGAAGAAAGCAGTGAGGCTTTTGACTTCATCTGGCCGTCGAGACCACAGTAAGCCTCTGTTCTCCTCTCTTAACATTCTTACCATCTTTAGTCAATATGTACTTGACTCCGTCTGCTACGTTAAGGAGAACATTGGTGACTTTATACAGCGTGGTGCAGTACATCAGCACAACACTAGAGGAGCTATCGATCTGGATGTGCCAAGATGCAGACTGGCTAAGTCACTGAACAGCTTCCCAGTTATGGCAGTGAGACTTTTCAATAGACTCCCAATTGAAGTAAAGCAGGCGAACAATGCCCAGTTTAAAAGATTGGTAAGGGAGAGACTCCTGGTGGACCCCCTATTTGACACAGACGAATTTATGAGGGAACCTTGGAGAGGAGCCACCCGCAATCCAAGATAGCCTAGACATGAATTGACACAGCCTATCCAGATCATCTGGTCATCGGCGACGCAGTGGTAATTAAAGGTAATTAATTAATTAAGGTAACATATACTAGGTCAACCAACTGATCTAGGCTATACAAATTTGGATTACTTGACGGAGTAAACTATAGGCCCCCCATCATTTTTTTGGACTAGGTATATCATACTCAATTATGGTAAGAGGGGCTCACCTTCCTGAGAAGGAATTGATAGGCAGACTAAAAGTATTTATCAGGGGCTTGGATCTTTGAGGTTTATAAACAACTCATTGGGGTGTGTTATAATTAAAAAAAATTGGATGAAGATAACCGCATAAGATGTTCACGATATTTCCTTCATCCACAGTACCTTCATTCTTTAACAATGATTCTTGTTAGACCTTATTGAAATTTTAGGTTTTAGAAAATCCTTTCTTTAAACTATTGGATAAGTTAGTTTAAGTTCTAACTTACGGTACCTTCTTACATTGTCATACAACTAGTAAACAGTAGGCGTAAACTTAGGCTAAATTTATTGAAACTTATGAACCTGTCAGGGATAGCTCATATTGGCTTCCGCTCTGGTTAAAAGTTGTCTACTGAACCTAATAACTCACAAATTTGTTTACCTTTTCCCCCCAACGGCATAGCCCTCCACTTTACGAGAAGAAAATTCCATTTAAGTTCTTTATAAATCAGGAACATTTTAATAATACATTCTTTTAGGCGGTTACTAACTTAGGCATTATGACGTGCCTACAATGCATGATTATCTTACTTGAAAAGTTATCAGGATGGGCTAGTTTGATTGTTAAGAATAATAGCCTATAGCCTATAGGCCTAACTAAAAACGTTAACGCACGGTAGACCAACAAGTAAAGTAGGCATATTTTAAGATAGGCCTATAAGTTAGGGCTTTAAATTATTAGGAAAAGAGACTAGGAAGCCTACTCTAGAAGATTGAGACATAGACATAACTTACCCATAATCAAGAAACCATTGGTAGTCAGAGTTGTCCTGAATAAAGTCAACATCTTGAGATGAGGTGTTGCTGAGGTAACTAGCTGTTGAGTCCAATGTATTAGAGTTGCAGTCGGACTCAGGGCTGTGCAGGGAGGCCAGCTTCTCTTCCGTTGTCATCCCTCGCGGCTGTCCCGCCACACCTGCAAGAATCAAACGATGCTTATTCGGAGAAGGCTAATGTAATTCTGAAATTATGCTGTAGCCTACTATAGGCTTATGCATATATAAAATGTTGACTCTGCAGTTTTTAGGTTAGGAAGGTTCATGGTAGGCCCATTTTTGGTAGCCATCACAATGCCTAGTAGTTTGGGGCCTATAGGCTTGGTTATGAAACCCTTGCCAAAAATTTGATATAGACTAAGGCACAAGGCCAGGCTTACGTCAAAAGCCAAATTGTATTTTGTATTATTTCCAGTTCTTGTCTGGTCCAACTGCTTGAATTCATTGGATCAAGGTTAAGTAACTTAGTTTCCAAATAAGTTAAGGGTCACAAATCTAAAAAGTTATCCTATGCCTAACCTAACTTATAAACTGCAAAATATAACGCAACGAGGAAAGAAAACAAAAACTAGACTAAATAAAGACAAAATAAATTATCATTTATAAGACTATCTACAGTATTCAGTTTTCAACGGTGTCACTTTCAATGCTTACCATATTCATCATATTTTATCTGTATCACCATCGCGCTCATAATATAAAATTGAATTTGCAAGTGTACATTAATTCGCAACTTATTTCATAGTTATTATATTGATGCTTAAAATAGAAATAGTCTAAATGTAGATAAATCGTTCGAATAGTGAATCGTGTGCTGATATAATCAGTAAATCAGTTCGTAGTTCGTTCTCGTTGCCATTCCAGTATTCCAGTCATTGTCAACGTTCTGTCGTCTACTCGTCTGGTATGGGAGGGAATGGGATTGGGTGGGATTTGGGAAGTCAACTAAACTCAACTCATCTGGATCAGGACAGGACTGGATCCTGGATCTCCCTCGACCCTCGGTCCCATTCGACGATTCGAGATTCGATCGAGTCAATCGTCACTCGTCATTCCCTCTGCTGCTGAGGGGAGAGGGGATTACCCGGACTACCTCAACTAGAGTCGCTTGTGACCATCGATATATAAACACAAATATATCGATGCTTGTGACACACTCATCGCATCCTTCGTTCGGCTCATCCAGTCTCTCAGTCTCAGTGATCATAAATCAAATAAAACTACTACTTTTACCTTCCTGCATGATTCACACAATCCCAATCCGATGCGACCGGATTGTTCTTAAATCATATCCCAAAATATTACCACAGAATCCGGTATGCCATATAAATTACGGTGTAGGTGTTTAAAATGATTAGGCACAGACTAAACATACTCCTTTGTGTTAGTGTATTTATTTATACAGTATACACATTTTTGACAAGATAAACACGAGTTAGAATATGGTTTCAAGAATCAAGAATTTATTGCAACAAATTACAAAAAGAACATTTTGTATAGTTGAGGTCAATATGAGAGTAACTTAGGCTAAGAAGTCTCAGTAATCTGCAAGGATAAAATGTCCAGTGGTTAGCATATCAATTAGGGCCTATAACATTCAATAACTTAGGCTACTTTAAATAATTTAAACAACAAAGTTTAGGTTCTATGGTTTAGGTTATACTCACGAGAAAATGCTGTATAATGATTACCTCATTACCTCCCTCCTTCGCTTGAGACCAAAATATGTATTGGATTAACAGCGTCAAAAGAATAATTATTTTGACATACCTAGGTATTTTAACAATATTTACAGACTTCCGTGATGGAGTTGAATTATACGTGCTTGCGTGGACAATGATCTTGGGATATTTGAATTATGTTGAACACATTGAATGGATTTTTAAAATTAAATTCATTGGCCGTAAATCTTGTACCGGTACGAAAAATCACGTGAGATAAGTCTATGGTTACTCGTGGTTGGTAAGGGCCCAGTTTTAGCACTGAAAATCTGTCTGTTAATAATTATTTTTAAACTTTTCAATTACTAGCATCATAGACTATAGACTAACCAACACAAGTACAGTATACTTCTCATCCCATTGTTCCTTGTTTTTCACGTCTAGTTTATGTCCGGTGACACTGATCGCTAGTGTTGACAAAATTGGGTAATGGTTAGCTGGTCCCGTAATCCGAGGGTCGAAAAAGGTTGGGGCAATAAAACGACTCCACTGGTCCCGAGAGGTCCAGGTAGTTTTGGGGCGGCTAATCCAGTGGGGCAATGAGGCATGAAGCGTGATGCAAACAAACAATAAATACTTGCAGTCCAGTCCTCGGCAATGAATGGTGCGAATTTTGGAATTCCCTCGCCAGGTCATCATCCCATCGCGAAGCTCTAAACATGCATCACTTCACTCTACACGTCAACAACAGCAAATACTTGCAGCGCTCTCGGTATCAAAGAATGTTGCGAATTTGGGGTTTTGTAGCACTCACCTACCATAAGGGGAAGTTGATAAATATACCTTTAAACATCTATGAGAGAAGTAAACAAAATGGAGTACAAGAGGTAGTACTGTAATAAGCAAAGTTAGTAGGGATATTGTTCAAAATCAAATGTTAAGGGGAGAGAAGGAACGTGGAGGAAAAAGAAGACTGTAGCAATGAAATACTTCATCGACAAAAAGCTAGATTCTCTTTCAACAGGGAAGATCAACCTGGTCTCTTTTAGCGAATTTCCCCTATAGGGAATAAGCTATTATCGTAGTACTCATGGTGAGACCTGGACCCGGGACCGATTTATTTGTTCGTTTTGAGGTCCCTAGAGGCAAAAAACACCATCCGTTCAAATTCATATACGAGTATAACACAGTCCGTTAGCGCGATAACTCGAGCAAAAATGTTCCGATTTTGATTAAATTTGGTACAAACGTGTTAACTTATGTTTATTCGAATGAGTTCGCGAACCAGCATGATCGGACTATGGGAACAGGGGTTTATGGAGGGTTTTATGGTGTTTTGCCCATTTTGACCCTAAAAACTTAAAATTTAGCAATTTCTTTTCAAACCATTTTGTAGAGCTTAAAAAATAAATTATTTAGTATATTAAAGCGTTATTATGCGCCTAATTGTTACGGAGAAAATTCCAAAAATCTGTTATTTTAAAATTCCCATGTTATTCTTATGGAGAATAAGTTAACCGTTGTAGTTTGCTTGTTTATGAACATATTTTGCTCAAATTTGGAAAATGCATTAATTTCATACTAAACTATTAACATTTTACAAAAAAACACATTGTTACCCTCCCAGTTGCAGCAAACCTAAGTAGGCATACTCGTTAAACTAATGTTAATAGGGAATAAATGTGAAATTTCTATGGATACATTTTAGTGTAAAACCAATCAGGCAAATGGAAATTTGCTTAGTCTGCAGGTTTGCTGCGGCGGGGGTATTTTAAAATGTGTATCAAACGTTTCCTTACCCAGAGAGGTTTAGTCGAGGGGAATGGAGTCTGTAAATATAGTTTTTAGTAATTTGTAATATGGTAGTTTGTTTGTAAAATCTTGATCTGATTTTTGATCAATGTTTATGTCAATTTTTGTGAAATATGTTTTTAAATGTACTTAGTAATTATTAAATCGTAAATATTCATCTTTTAGCTGTGTGCCCGTTCTACGCACGGGGATCTTATAGTGGTCAGTTGAAACCTTCCTATAAATAGAACAGCAGTTGGTTTGCATATTTTCAAATATGCTGGCCAAACTATTATAGCCTATATAAACAAATACAGTATCCTACAGTTTCAAGTAAAAAAAAAAAAATGCGTAATAAGGGTACACTTCCATATCTGTTGGCACAAACAACCAAATGAGTAATATTGATTATTCGATTTTTTTATTCGATATATCGTTTGGTTAGTTAGGTTAGGTTAACCTTACCTAACTAACCAAACGATATTTAGTTAAAATACTATACCTCAACCTCGCTATTAAACATTCAGGTTGGAAATTTCACTATCAAAGGTGTTCTTGTCCTGTCCGTACGGAACACTGAGTAATATAATATGCGCTACCAACTTATGAATAATTGTTTAGGCCTACGATCCCAAGAGATAGGCAATTGGTCTATTGGCTGTATGGTCCAGCGAGCAGCACATAGCGTTGAGAAGACACATTGGAAAAGCGATTTGAGCATAATCCGTAAACCTCTGTTACAATCATCCACTGCAGTTGTCACTTTACACTTTACACAACCACCATTGAAGTGCCGTCAATGAGTTGAAACCTTTTATGTAAGCTATTGGTAACGCTTATGTAAAAAATGTAAGTTTCCCAGCCATATTAAACACTGATTGGCTGCACTTTACTTTAGGTCCTACACTCATTCGAACGAAAATATCGATCGATATATCGATTGCTTCATTCGATATATCGTTTGGTTAGTTAGGTAAGGTTAACCTAACCTAACTAACCAAACGATATATCGAATTAAACAATCGAATTCTCGATATTTTCATTCGAATGAGTGTAGGACCTAAAGTAAAGTGCAGCCCACTGATTCAAGGTCTTTTTCCCGGTTATCAAAACTCAAGAAAACTTTTATACACAAAGAATCTATATTCTTATTTACGGTTACCCCACAAATTATTGAGCTTGCGATTAATTAAATCCGTTATGTGAGGAAAAACTGTTTTAATCCAACTTGGTTTGGATTTGCTTTTGAAACGTGATCGGAAATGATTGCGGTATTTGTAAATAACATTAAATGTAAACATATCAGTGACATCTAGAGAAAAATAATCTTGATCCTAACAGCTGTTCGCTATTTCATAGATGATTATGTGATAAAAATTGGGAGAAAACTTGACAAAAATCGCACGAAATTGGGTTTTTAAACGTCCGTAAGTTTATTTAAAAAGTAGTGAGGCCATATTTTAATAGCTAAAGACACTCTCGCCAATCCAGTGAATACGTTAAAATGATTCGGATCTTGATAGGTACTCTCGTTTTTCAGGAGAAGGCCGCGTAAATGGCTCTTGGGCCGTGACAGACGGAAGACAGGCAGACAGAAATTGAGATGAGACTTGTTTAGGCTTCTTTAATGTATAAAACTTAAAAATAACCTAAAAATTTATGATTCTGAGCAATGTACATACAAAACT